AACACATTGACAATACAACTTAACACAGTGACAATACAACTTAACACAGTGGTAGTACAACTACACACAGTGACAATACAACTTAACACAGTGGTAGTACAACTAAACACAGTGACAATACAATTACACACTGTGGTAATACAACTAAACACAGTGACAATAAAATTACACACTGTGGTAATACAACTAAACATAGTGACAATACAACTTAACACATTGACAATATAACTAAACACAGTGACAATACAACTACACACAGTGACAATACAACTAAACATAGTGACAATACAACTAAACACAGTGACAATACAACTTAAACACAGTGACAATACAACTAAACACTGTGGTAATACAACTAAACACAGTGACAATACAACTACACACAGTGATTATACAACTTTGCACAGCGATAACTTACTTTTATACGATGATATTACAACTTAACACGATGTAAATACAACTTTATACAGTGATGATATTACTTTACACAATGAACTTTGAACTTTACGAAGTTTTATTCGAACTTAAGGCAGTGTAATATGACTTGAGTCAGTGATAATAAAAATTTACACTGTGTTAATATAACTTTCCTCGGTGATAATAAAACTTTACACAGTGATAATACAATTTTACACAGTGAATATCAAACATCTCACAATGTCACTGTACATGGTCACGAAACTGAAAAGGCGTAAGCCTCCAAAAATTAGTGTTAAAATCCGTCTTTTCGTTGTTGTTTCTCCAAAAGTTATGTTTCGGTTAATGATATACGTTTTCAACAGCACGTGCTATTTTCTGCTGAGATCAACCTGTAAAAGTGTGACCAATTACAACTCGGATGTTATTCAAATTGTTAAATTTTCACGTTATTTTAATAGAGGATCTTAAATGAGCTTCCATTCATATGTCATAAATGAAATGAGATTTTTTTTTGTGATAAATTCCATAAACCTCATATAAAATGGAGAAAGATGTAGCATTCCCTTTACTTAACAAACAACAATGAAAATAGCATCATAATTGACTCACGCCAAATCCAAATTGGCGCTATCGTCATTCTAGATCTCTTTCTATAGTGATGTCACAAAAGTAATCAAGCAACCTTCCACCAATCTTTGTTGCGAGGTCATATTACACGTGTGTCATAGCAGAAGAGAATGTCATGGTAAAATGACTGTGGTAACACGATAGTTATGTGAGAAAATTTATGCAAAATGTACAGTGGTTTCAAACTATTCACAAACTTCGATTTTTTTTCTATTTCGATGATAAAAATTGTCAAAAGTTGTGGTGATAACCGCACAGATTTTCTCTCGAATAATACACTGACTCGCCATTGTTTTCAATATGTGGTCAAAATCCATGCTAAGTATGGATTTATGCTGACTTTTTTATGGATCTAGACCTTGTTTCCCATGGGTCAGTTTGAGGTAAGAAACAAACCGCCATTTTGGGGTCTGACTTCTTGTCCTGATATCACGTGATCATGAAGAAGGAGATTGATCAAACATGATAGGACATTTCGTGATTTGTCAATTCTATTCCCATAGTTTTAGTGCATGTATTGCTCATCCCCGCCAGAGTACAACATGCGATCACTCATCTTCACGTGCTTTATCAATAAAGTCACAATCACGGGCAAGGCACGCACGCACTTTCCAGTCATTCCCAGCGTCCATCCCTGAGGTGCGGTCACTGACGTCTGGGTATATAGTCAACACCTAGAGGTGTTGCACTCATGTCATTGTTTTGTACCTAAAATTTTAGTACAGTATGTTATAATTAAATTCCTATACCGGTCTCTGAGTTAGTTACAGTACTGACGGTATGTAATGTGTCAAATGAACCAGACCTAGCCTTATGTACAAGTAAAGCTTGTGACGTTAACTACAACCTAAAGTCACTATTAAGCTGTGCAAGTTAGTAGTGCACAGTCCGAACCACAAAACAGTCGCTAACTACAGGACACTAAATAAGTACACACCAGTACCAAGTTAGCACCGCTATCTAAAAGTTACAAAGTTAATACACAGTCAGAACCAAAGTAAACATTTTTATTTTTTAGATTTATTTTAGATTAAAGTTTATTTGTTTTACAATTATTGCGCAACAATTTTTGTACAACTCTTGTTGACCCGGGTGGAAACGCTCGAGGTATCTTACTCTTGGAGGAAACTGGAGTACCCGGGAAAGGCCACGTGATCGGCAGGTGACTCCATTCCTTTTCATGTCCGTTCTGGATATCGTACCCTGGAGCGGCCTTGATGAAAGACAAGTACGTTATCATTGCACCACCCGGCTGAACAGGTATCATGTTATCGCCACAAGCTACAAGGCAAAAGCTACGGATAGAAGATATTAACATAGTTCAAAGCTACTTGTTTATGGTACGTTATAGTTATTTCCGAAACAATTTAGCATAAACGGCAGAGTATTAATGTTCTCTATATAGGCCTCATCATGATTTCTGAAAAATCTTACAGGTAACAAATGTGACTATTACACAAGGGGTAATTACTAAAATATACAGTTTTCGATGCTGCCTGTATTCTATGTAAAATACTTAAACTGACTAGTATCTGTGCGGCACTACGACTTCTGTCTGTGTGCTTCTGATGTGGTAATGCAGGACAACCCTCAGATAACGCGGGAGATTTATGTAGATCCCGTCAAAAACCTCTGAAATATCTGTCTTATTTCATTTAAGGTTTTCAGGGCAGGCGCATCCTGCGTTCATCGCAGACCACATTCCATGTAAATTATGGCGAAAGAAACACGGGAAGCGTATATTGCGCAACCATTATGAATGAAACGTTATACCCCATAGATAATACTATCACAATTGTATAAATAAGTCAGCGGACGTTCAGACGGACTCCCAGTCGTACCTAGACACGGGGCTTTCGGTACTGAAGCACAGTACTTACGAAACAATCTAAAAGACATGTATCTCACTGATTAAAACTACCACGGAAATTTTGACAACAATAAGAAATATTTTATGAAGTTCGACTAAACAACGAAGAAGTGGTCCGAATTAAAACTATATCTGACATCTGGAGCCATGCCAGAAACATTAACGCAGTTTCCGTGATTGTGTGTGCATCCAGATTGAGCCCGAACACTATACGGGAACTTGGTCACGCGAGCTATCTCTTTGTTACGTAAACAATGTCACCACAGATGTGCAGGCATGCGTTCAGCCCGTCTGATTGGTTCTGTCGCTGGTGACCCCTGTCCCCGGGCCTGCATCCGGGGGTGTCGGGTGACTGCGTGACAGGTCGATTCAGGAACGACGATGAAATGGTAACTCAATCAGAGGCGTCCCGTCCGTAATGGGTCGGTGCGACACCAGAGGAATGACAATGCAGGTCATTATTTAACACGGGAGCGCAGTGACATAATGGTGGCAATGAGCTGTGCATGAGATCTGTCTACCAATAAAAGGGTTGCGTAGTAGAACGTTGGAGGTAAAGTCAATTAAAAACAAAACAAATCCCAACAAGAGATGGAGTGCGAGAGATGTATAATACATACCTACAGTAAGTAGACTAGCCGGGCTACCAGCCCCTAAATGTTTGTAAAGAAACATCCTGAATTACCACATTTCCTTATCCCACTCTCTCCCGTTTTCATTTTGAAAATAACGCCCAAAATAAAACATATCCAAGAGATCAAAATTATAAAAATCACTTTAAATCTACCCGGACCTTCTCCTCACGTCCTGTACATCCACTTCATACTTCACCTATTTTAATAGCTTTCCTTTGGTTCGTTGAACAAATTCTGCACCTTGAGGGGCACGAGACTTTGATCCGTAGGTCGAAATATCAAAGATTCGTCATAAACAGCTAGTTTCTATTTTCCGACAACGCATTCATTTACGGACCCTGGCAAATATGGTATCCAATCAGGTAATTCAATGACCTGACCAATGTAAAAAGTTAAAGTCGACAGTGTTATCTAAAAAATAGAGATAAGCAACATCTAATCAAACAAGTTCAGGACTTAGCTGATGAACGGAGCCGATATTTATTTCAAGTCTTGACGGTTCCTAAAAACAAAAATTAAAATATGCTTATGTATTCAACACTTTTACTTTGAACTATACATAAACCTGTAATTTCATTAAACTAGATTTATACTTCGTCCATCATTCCAATGTTTCAGAACTATTTACGGTTTGTTTCAAGGGAAACAACTCTTATATACGTTCATAAAAAGTACAAAAGTAAACACGCTCTGATCTCTCAGAGTTACTTCCCTTCGTTTCACTACTACGACATCGACCTTATCAACAAATAAACTATGCATCCCAATATTTTAATTATTTTTATTAAGAATATTCTGTACAATTTGTATAAAACACCTGATATAAAATGATGATATTGAAAATGTTGATTTATTACTTCTGATTTGGATTATGTACAAAATGAATATAGACATTGTTATTGTATCTTATTTGTATTTAACTTACAGAAGAGTCACGTATTTCCACATTGTCAAACTATGGTATTCCATAAGTGAGATAAGAAATTCTCATTCAGGAATAATGTGTTTATCTTAACAATTCCTCTGCTTTTAATTAATGAAGTTTTGTGATGATATGATCAAAAAGTTGAAATGATTTAAAACCAACATCTTCTGATAAAACTATAGCACTAAATCATGGTTATGAACCACGCCATCAATACAAGGTATTGGGTTTTTGTTTCTTAATTGATAAATTTTTGCTCAATATTGCAATAACTGTGGTCTCAACAGAGCACCCTGATCCAGTCTATGTTTGTGTTAGGTTTTTCCTTGGAAAGTAAAGATTGTGTGTCCTATATACATCCACACTTCTATACATGGCACAAAAATGATATCCACATAATTAAATAGAATTATTCTAGAACTTCTCTTATGTACAAGACATATACTTACAACATCCTTAAGAGTATAGCTTATATATTTATATACAGATTCCCATAAGATGACACATTAAGTAAATACAAGAAGACGAAAGGAATGGATTTACTTATTTGATTAATCAACCACTTAATATGAAATGAGGAAATGAATTAGACGTTGTAATTTACATATATACATCTATACAGCTATTACAGAATGAGCATGATACATGAATTATCTCCCTTGATATGTCCTTGGAAGTTTAATGAATTTTAAACAATCTTTGATGACAATTATGACATGATGTTAACAACAAAACATAATTACTAAAAAAACCAAAAACTTTTAAAAAGAAAAGTATATGACAACCAGGTATTTCTTTAAGATTCAAATTTTTTCACATATATTGTAGAACTTAGCATGTGTGCTCAGTTACCACTTTTGTGTAGAAGAAATCAGTCTATGTACAAAATACATTTTTGTCTGATGAAGAACAGTGGTAAAATATTATAGACACATGTGTAACTGATTTTGCTATGATTCTTCTTGAAAAAAATGTACATAGTATTATCTGGAGCAAGTACTGGTTTATAAAGGTTTCTGGTGTAGGACAGGTAGCATGAAATCCAGTTTACACAGGTCTCTGTATATGAAACTATAGAGAGGGTTTACATAACGATGATTTACTGAAAACTTTGACAACTTCTCAACATTACCAGGTGTATTCATTATACTGCAAATTTTGGTGGAATTTTATGAAATTTCAGGATTAAAAACAAATTTTGTGTTAACATTTTTTTCTGAAATGTTATGCTCTTTGATTTGTTGTCATTTACAATTATGACATTACATTTATCAGCACATACCACTTTTATATACCGGTAGTAAATATGCCAGCTGTGGTAGTTTGTACAAGCATGTCTGTTTGATATCATGCATTTTCATTATTAAATCTAGTCATCATTGGGTCTTCTACATAGTATATAGCTCCTTATATCTGCTGTGGATAATGAAAAATATTGATCTGTATGAGAAAACAATTTGTGTAGTGAACTTTGATTAATTTAGGGATCATTCAGAAGTAAATTTAAAAGTCATTCATAATTAGACATATCTACATGTGGCTAATACATTACTTGGAAGTCAGAACAGCTTAACTCTAACATCAATCCAGTTAAATGCGGACTCTCATTATACTGGAGATACATATACCTGCACTATAATCTGACTGGTGTAAAATCATTTGTCTACCTTTCTCTTTGATTCAGTGTTGATGGCACAAGTAATGTATATACATATAGTATAAAAATCCAATGCTATTACTGAACCAGGTTATATAAATTCTGTAACTTTTGTATTAGAATAAGAATTTCCATGTAAATATCTGCTATGTGATATACACATGATCTTTTATAATCTTCTAGACATGTTCCTGCTAAACATTGAGGTTTGAGTACATGTCCAATCTGCTGATGTTACTCAACTTCAATGTTTAATTACTTTAGGTATTTCTTGGTTTACATAAATACTCCTAGGTTCTGGTGTGTGATCCAGAAATTGCATAGTTGAAGGAGATCTGTTCGTGTTATGTGTTTTCAGTGACATAAGTTCTCTTTTCATAATACACCGATTTTATAGGAAAAGAAAGCCAACACAAGGGATGTGACTAATGTCCATTTCGTCCACAGTGAACTAGCCTCATTGCAGTCATCGGCAGTGCAGGTGTAAACACAAGCTCGGTACATACGATCATGATCGGGGTAGAAAATATCCTGACATTGGTCACCGAGGTCACGTGAGCTACAGAACCGATGAGTGCCAACCACACCTATAAAAAAAAAAAAACAATGAAAACTTGAAATTTATCTACATGCTATGGTAAAGAGGCCAATAAACAAAGGACATCATCCCCGACATTCAAACTTACAGGAATTATAGACACAAAGGTCACAGAAACTATATACACACCAAGGTCACAGGAATTATACACATCAAGGTTACAGAGACTATATACACACCAAGGTTACAGGAATTATATACATACCAAGGCCATAGGAACTACAGCTTAGATCAAAGGGAATATAGATATCAAGGTCACAGTAATTTAAATCCCCCATCACACGGAATATATAAACCCAGGTCACTGTAACTACACATCTCCACCCAAGGAATAGAGACACCAAGATCACAGTAGTCACACCTTACTGATGTGGAATATAGACACCATGGTCACAGGGAATAGACACCAAGATCACAGGGAATAGACACCAAGATCACAGGGAATAGACACCAAGATCACAGTAGTCACACCTTGATGATGCAGAAAATAGACACCAAGATCACAGTAACTACACACCTTGATGAAGTGGAATATAGACACCAAGGTCACAGGGAATAGACACCAAGATCACAGTAATGTCACACCTTGATGAAGTGGAATATAGACACCAAGGTCACAGGAACTACACCTTAGATCAAAGGGAATATAGAAACCAAGGTCACAGTAACTTTACACCTTGATGATGTGGAATATAAGATACCAAAGTCATAGTAACTACACACCTCCGTCACAGGGAAAACAGACACTAAGGTCACAGTAATTACATGTCTTAATCGCAGGGAAAACAGACACCAAAGTTACAGGAACTGTATTGACTACACATCAAATTGGGTATTTTTATTAGGAGAAATGTTTTTACAGAACCTTTGTACTAAAGGCCATGGAGCAGACTTACCTCCCCAAAGGCCAGTGATTTTGATACAGTAGCGAGAATTCCATACTGTACAGTGCTGTGATGTCAGTGGGTTGATGTCATAATTATGGTTAAAATGTTCTTGGCAGTTGTGATCCAATGTTGAATTACACTGGAAGCAGTTCAGGCCTTCAACTGAAAATCAAATGTTTGAAAATGTTTACCTAACAATAATGTACTTAAGAGCTCATATCAATTATCACCAACACAAGTGCTTCAACTTTATCACAACTCCTGTAAAGTTTTCATAAAACTATGAAGAAATTAAAAGAGAAATGGGATAACTTTAACATATATGTCATTATCATCAGTAGCATCAAGGATTTAGGTAAAGTAAAAGTGCCTAGTAGTACCTACTGAATGGAATTTTATTAAGAGTCTCCATTTTTACAATGGTATAATATAACCAGTTATCAAACTATATGTCCTAGACATGTTTGTATATGTCATCACTATATTGACTCTCATGCCTAAAGTTGACTTTAATTTGTTTAATGCCATTAAAGAGTTCCGACTTTTGACTCTTAGTTTTGAAAACTAACGACACATATAAAAGAATGCATGTACATCCAATGTTTAACCACGGACTTATATACACAATGTTTAACAAATGCACTCAGATAGGTGAGTTATATTTCCTCAGTAGCTTTGTATGTAAGTAAATTGTGACTTATTTTTTTTTTAACATCTGTACATGAGTATCTGCACTGAAATTCTTTCGTTGTCGACACACCTTATCATTCAAAAAGTATTACAGATCAGATAATTTAGCATAATCGCGACAAAATACACGCATATAAACAATACCTGTACCATAGTATTAATGTAATTACACAGTTTACGTTCAGCAGTTCAGGTCTAATGGTAAAGTAATGTGATGTTTTATTTTGAATATTACATGTATAAGCCATGTATATATTTTTCGGAGTCTAGTGAAGAAATAAACTACACTGTTACAGGTTTCTGCTAATGACCGTTTGTATCGTATGAAAACATCTTCTGGCTGAGCTGTACCACACCTCGTATACAGGTATGCACGTCATAAATCTCTTACCTGATACAAATATAACCAAAAACAGGACGACAGTCGCCCAGGCGTGATGCAACTTCGCCATTTCCTTAGTGTGGGACTTTTTATACCTCTGTAGCCGATATTCTGTGATATCGTTATACTAGTTGTTTGAAAAATGGCTTCACTTCCTGTATTATTCACACCTGAGAAATCGATCGTAGCGTCACCTACAATATGTACAGGTAAGATTAAGGTAGCATACCTGAGGGCTGATTCACTTATTCAAGGGAGACAACTCTTAGATCATGCAACTTTTTTCTATCTGCACAGGCCGAAAACATATCGTCTCGAAAACGGACACATGTAATTGCTATGTTTATGTTTTATTTATCTATAACACAACTGCACTTTTCATTTAGATTGAACTTTACATACAACATTCATAGATTACGTCTTATTGATACATTATAGATTTATTTTGATGCTCGTATGTCTAGGGAGATAGAAACGTCTTCGGAAGCTAGAAGCAATCGTACTGCACCAATTTGTTGATACTATCCCCGTCTGTATACCGCCTTAGCTGATGATTCTATTATATGGAGTTGTCGTTAAGACAAAACGATGAGGTGAAATATCCACTCCATGTGTGTAACATCCACTCCATACAAATGTGAGACAAAATCATCAGATAAGCAGTTAAGCCGGCATTGATTGAACTTTTGTCCCTACCCATCAGGTCATCTAGGGCTAGTAAGTGCATCATTCTGTCATACTAACAATTTTAACCAAGTCTGAAATATTTTCAACAGAAATAAACAAATTATGCTCAAATATGTAACACTCCAATACAAACTATAGTAAACTTTACATTCTCCCAAGGGGAAAGTGCAAGACTTTGGGGTCATGAAATTTACAATTTGGTAAAGCAGATATGTCCATCCGCGAAAAAAATATTTGGTGCTACCTTATCTGGGTATTGAGTGGAAGATTTTTTAAATTTCAGTCAAGATGATCCTTTTTTTAGCTCTGTCCATCAGCCCTTAGGGATCAGTCAGTCAATAAATGTATATGCACATCATTCAAGCGGCATTCTATATATAGTAACAATTCTAATTAAGTTCCGATAGAAAGTAACTAATTATGCTAAAAAATGTAATTTCCCTATATAAACTAAACTTAATTTTGCCTTGAGACCCAGGGGTCATGACATTTACAATTTTGGTAAAGCATCTGAAGGTGTTTCATTCCATAAAGAATATTTGTTTCTATCATAATGAGAAGAAGATTTTTTTCAACCATTTTTGGCCCTGCCTCTCGGGGCCCCTGGGAAATAAGGACCATATAATTTACAATTTTGGTGCACCTTTGACAATGGCAGGTTTCTATAAAATTTTATTGCAATCAGTTCAAGGATTTTCCAAAAGAAGTTGAAAATGTTAAAAGTAGATAGGAGCTCACAAACTACAGTAGATAGGAGCTCACAAACTACAGTAGATAGGAGCTCACAAACTACAGTAGATAGTAACTCACAAACTTGAAAACAAATTTATTAGCACTCAAAATCATTACTTTTGGATTTTGCTTAATTTCTCAACTTTGTTTTCACAATGCAGTCACATTAGTATTGCAGAGAAATGATTTTTTGTAATGTTGCACTTCAATGCACCAGATGTTTTCGGGTTTTCCTTCCTTGTTAACCCATAAATCAGTTGTTGACTTGCCTGAAATGAAACCCTGTGATTGGTTGGCAAATGAGTGATGTCCTTTAAGTTTTGTCTCAGTATTCACTTCCAATGCTTACTTAGTGGAGTTGTGCTTAAAACTCTTAAAGTTGAAATGATACTATTTCAGTTAAATTTGTGTGTAAAAAATAATTCTGTAGTGGCAATGAATATTTACTCAAGAAGAATTTGTGTTTTAAAACACATAAAAATAATGGGCTGTGGTTTCAGGATAAATTCCAAAGTCACTTCAATATTTAAAGTGAAATCACTGGAGTTTTTTTTATCACGGTTTGCTTTGGGGTTTCCCTTCCTTATTAATGAACCCACAAATCAAGTTGTTAACTCACCTGAAATGAAATCCTGGCATTGGTTGGCCAATGAGTGATATCTTATTAATTTCACCTTAATATTTACTAAGTGGATTTGGTGTGTTCTCACTTTTTCCCACATTTTGAGAAAACATGAATGCAGTAATGTTGTGATGGTAGTTATCCTGTTTTACCTGTGTTGTTCTCCCACTTATTTCACCTGTGTTGTTCTCCCACCTGTTTATCTGTTTCCCACCTGTTTTACCTGTGTTGTTCTCCCACCTGTTTATCTGTTTCCCGCCTGTTTTACCTGTGTTGTTCTCCCACCTGTTTATCTGTTTCCCACCTGTTTTGCCTGTGTTGTTCTCCCACCTGTTTTACCTGTGTTGTTCTTCCACCTGTTTACCTGTGTTGTTCTCCCACCTGTTTATCTGTTTCCCACCTGTTTTACCTGTGTTGTTCTCCCACCTGTTTTACCTGTGTTGTTCTCCCACCTGTTTATTGTTCTCCCACCTGTTTTACATGTGTTGTTCTCCCACCTGTTTACCTGTGTTGTTCTTCCACCTGTTTTACCTGTGTTGTTCTTCCACCTGTTTTACCTGTGTTGTTCTCCCACCTGTTTACCTGTGTTGTTCTCCCACCTGTTTATCTGTTTCCCACCTGTTTTACGTGTGTTGTTCTCCCACCTGTTTATCTGTTTCCCACCTGTTTTACCTGTGTTGTTCTCCCACCTGTTTATCTGTTTCCCACCTGTTTCACCTGTGTTGTTCTCCCACCTGTTTTACCTGTGTTGTTCTTCCACCTGTTTACCTGTGTTGTTCTCCCACCTGTTTATCTGTTTCCCACCTGTTTTACCTGTGTTGTTCTCCCACCTGTTTTACCTGTGTTGTTCTTCCACCTGTTTACCTGTGTTGTTCTCGAAACCTGGTTTCCTGCTCTCTTACTTATTTTACCTGTGTTATTCTCCCGCCAGTTTTACCTGTGTTGTTTACCTGTTTTGTGTTGTTCTCCCACCTGTTTTACCTGTATTGTTTCCCTGTTTTACCTGTTTCACCTGTGTTGTTCTCCTGTTTTACCTGTTTTACCTGTATTGTTCTCCCACCTGCTTTACCCGTATTGTTCTCCCACCTGTTTTACCAGTGTTGTTCTCCCACCTGTTTTACCTGTATTGTTCTCCCACCTGTTTTACCTGTATTGTTCTCCCACCAGTTTTACCTGTGTTGTTCTCCCACCTGTTTTACCAGTGTTGTTCTCCCACCTGTTTTACCTGTATTGTTCTCCCACCTGTTTTACCTGTGTTGTTCTCCCACCTGTTTTACCTGTGTTGTTCTCCCACCTGTTTTACCTGTATTGTTCTCCAACCAGTTTTACCTGTGTTGTTCTCCCACCTGCTTTACCTGTATTCTAACACATAACCTGGATTATACTCTCATATATCTATATTCGCTATTCACATACACTTTCAAGTAGTCATTATTTTTCAATTTTAAATTATTTCTAGACGACAGCAATGTGACATTGACAAAGATACTGTATAATAGTGTATAATTTTTAATTCATTGTTTGGCTCTGCTTTACCTAACTCAACATTTGTATTGAAAGGTGGGAAGGACAAGTACCAGCCTATCTGTATTCCTTGAGAATAAATCTATTTTGTCTAATCTCCCAATCTTCCATGCAGCACGCGTCAGTTGGAAGAACACCAACACACACAGTCAGTCTCAAAAAACATTACCAACTGGATATGATGGGAATGAACACACAGGACCTCCTGCAAAAGCAGCTTCTCCTCCCAGAAAAATCTGAGCAACAGAGACCCATGCCAGGAAATGGAACAAGAAACTTAAATCATTATGCTATGACAACAAAAGGGCTGACTGGCTTTTGGAATAATCTGGACCAACCAAACAATTGCTTATCAAATGTAAAGAAGCAAAGAAGATGCTGAGGAAACACTGGAGATAAACCAATGTCAAGGATAGGAAACAGGCCTTCAATAGTTTAATGAAGGCTTACCCGTCAGACATGATGCTATTCCATCACTTAACAAATAGTTGAAAAAGTACAAAGAGTTTAGTTGTTTCATCAGTGTAAGTTTCTTCTTGTAAATGTAGATATAGATAAATCCAATCCAAGTAATGTCAGGTTCTTCAAATGACATTCAAGTTTTTTGCAACAGCTTTTTCCGTGTCCATGTACTAATTTTACAAAAACAACAAAACAGCATTTTGTATATATATATTTAATAATAATAAAAAAAAAACCAAAACACATTGCACATCAATATATCTTGATCGCGAATGTAACATACAGACAAACCTATTTTATCAATATAATTGTCCCAGCCCAGATACTAGTCATCTCACAACCAATTATTTCAGTGCTTGGTATTTAGTACATACAGATGAAAAATTATTTTACATCTTTAATACCAAATGAAATCAATTTGGATGAAGTATAACTCAACAAGCATATACTAACATGTAATAGAAATCATAATTTGAACTAAGTGTTGATGAAATAAGGGCAAAATATGCACAAAGGAAACTTTGAAGAGCCTTGAAAAAGTGTCGAGAGAATAAGACCAGTTGTTCTATCAATGTAAGCCTCTTCTGCTCCACCAACAACTGCCCACGTAAATATAGACAAATCCAAATAATTTTAGATTTTCTACACGAGTCCTGTGTTTAAAATGCAAACCAAATGGCATACTTACTGACAAATATACTCTATCTATCTTCATATCATTGCAAGGAAAAAAACCGTTTTGCCCATGGAAGTCATGGTAACCATTGTATTGTATTGACCTAATGACCTTATTCTTCTTTGTTACCAATTATGAGACTCCAGAGCAGATGATATTTGATAGAATAAGTAAAATAGCAGCTTTAACTCGGAAAGTATGTAAACAGACAAGTTACTGAACTCCTGATGAATAAATCTGTAGATTTAAGACTTGATTTAACAAACATTTAAATATTTACCTTGTATAACATTAGATCAACAACCCAAATACTCCATAAAAAACTCCTCTCTATAAAACGGCATCATTTAAGACGGGGAAAAAATATGTAAATAAATAGTCTTCATTGTTGATCGATCCCTACCAGTATTCTGATGTATTGTAATTACATAATATATAATAATTATATAATCTTCAGTTTAAACTTTGTTATTAACATATAATGCAGTAGTACATACATTGTACAAAAAACATAAGGATTCAGAAATGAGTCAATGGTACATATATTTCAGTCTCATACTGCAGCAATGAAACAGAACTAACAATGTGGTTTTTTATCAGTGAAAAAACTGTTGCCCCTACTCCAAATCTTCTGTGTGTTACAGGAATTATACATATTGTATTTACTTAAATGCAATTCCAAATAATTACAAATCTTACTTTGTACTATCAGTAATTTTTGAAGGATTTTTTCAAGCAAGTCCAAAGAGACATTTAAAAAATTTTGAGGAGTTCCATTACTAAGAGATGTTGTAGTGTCTCAAAAGTCCTACACAAAAAACATGAATTCAAGATCTGAATACTTGAGTCCCAAAAATTACTGACGACATGATTTGGTACAAGCAGTGTCTCGCAATTCCAGACAAAATTTCATGTTTCAATTTTGATTGATATAATCTCAAAGACAACAACTCTATGACATAGTATGATGATTATCAATGTAACAATAATGTCTAGATTTCTAATCACAGTACACAATGATAAATTCTCACCTCAAACTAAATGTTAAATGTGCCACACTGTATTTTGACATCAGAAAGTTGTGTGAGCTAATACAATATAATTAGTCCAACAACTTTGCTCATCAAATAGTTAACACTGTATGTTGACATATATTACAATATTGACATATCGTATTAGTCCACACAGCTTTCTGATAATTAGTCCACACAGCTTTGCCCATGAAATAGCTATATACTCTGTTTACACAACTTGTGTAACACCATGAAATAGCTATATACTAAATGAATTCACTTAAATTGAATATTAGGATATCTCAGAATTTTCCCATGGCCCTGCAAAGTTCGAGATAACGAGGTTCGACTGTACATTTCATGCATTACAGTTAAAACTCAAAGCTATACGAACACAAAAACAATTAGCAAATTGGTCGCAAATATTTAAAAAGTCTTAATCATTTGGTAAAAAAAAAGTTAACGCAAACCGACATGTTAAAAAATACAGTCTAACCCACATATAATGAAATTTGATATAATGACAACCTGCTTGTATTATCACATACACAATACTCCTGCCCCCCCTCCCCTAATTCCTTTGTAGTGTATATAATTATTTCTTGCACATGTTGCATTGACCATTATAAAATCCTATACTTCATGAATGAGTTTTTTTTTTTGGTTCCCTTCAATAATTTGTCAACTGATTTTCCATGGATATTATGTAAACATTTGATTGGGTATGCATGAAGTTATCTGTCCTTGAATTGACCAGCTAAAGTTTATGTACACACTGTACATAATAGCCCACATTTGCTAAAATGGAGATTAAAAATATTCATCAACGAAATGAAATGATTTTAATCAATAACTTTGTTTTTATTGATGCATACCAGTTAAATGAATACTGTTGTTCAATCGTGTATAATATAAATGCATGATAATAAATATGATTATCTAATCCTGTTGTTATCAATCATGTAGGACAGCTTTGTTCAGCTGACCCATTACCAATAAGGGAGATTACTTTAAGATGCTAACCAACATACTCTGTTTTAATTGAAACACAAAAACAATTAGAACAACTTTGAAAGCCAAGGGTGTTCAATATGACACTCTTCCTATGAGAGAAAGGAAATAGATTATAACCCTTAGAAAGAAAAAAATGACAAAGTTACTGCATATAGCATTGTTCATTAATTAGGTTAAAAGTGTCTGGTTAGTTTTAAAATAAAAAATTCAAAATTAAAAAAAAAACCTGAACTTCCTGAACCATGCACGGGGGCCAAATGGTTAAAGCCTCTAAGTGTCTTTATCACAAGCCCTCCACCTCTGGGTTGAAGATTTGAGGTTTCTGTAGGGCAGTTGCCAGATACTGGCCACAGGTCAATGGTTTTTCTCCGGGAACTCAGGCTTTCCTCCACCGTCCTTAAATGACCCTGGCTGTTAACAGGATGTAAAGCAACAATAAACCAAACAAATCCTGAATCAGAAATTTTCCAGTAGTTTGTCTTAACACCTACAGGAATTTTTCTTTTTCTTCCTTGTTTTATCTAAATATTTAAACTGTGTGTAATCTGAACAACAAATTGTACAACAATATTTTGAAATAAAAATTGATAAATAATAGCTACTATGTTATTGTGTGTAAACAAATTAACAATACAACGTATAATTAAAATCTCTAAAAATTTACAATAAAATACTCTCTCTCTCTTACAGACTTCAAGATGTATTATGGCACCAACAAAAGTAAAACTCTATTCATATATAACACAATTTACATACATTGTATGTATTTTCGATAATAACATTACCATGAATATCAATTGGACTACAACATACAAATATCTGTTATCTTTGTATATCATGAAGAAATCACCAGATTGTAACATGAATCTTGTTTTGTGAAACCAGGGATGTATAATACTGTACTATACGTCCCTGGTGAAACACATGTACAAAAAAGTGCTTCAGGTGAGAGTGCTCTGAGAAAGATGAGTTACAGCTTACCCTTCTTAAAGCTAAACTCAGCTGTTATTTTATGATATTGGCAAAATAAAAATGACTCTGTCATACAACTCTCCATTGACTTGTCAAGAGATGCTGCTATCAGGTTGAACTTTCCAACATCTCTGAACCTGATGATCAATGAGGTGTTACACAAGCCATTGAACAGACTCATTTTGCAATTTACTTTGGATAGCGAAAAAAACTAACATGAAATATGATGACATGAATATGGACGATATTCTTCATTGTCCTCGAAATTATAGAAGGTAAAGGTCCCTATTTCAGAAAGCATTTCAAGTATTCAACACTTTTGATACTACTTGAAGAAATGTGTTTGCCTGCAAGCTACTATCATAAATTTATACATATTGGATATGATTTTATCAGTCTTTGAAGGGATCTCTTTGAAAAGATTGTTATAGACAGGTAGACGGTATCAGATGATGGGTTCCTTTGGAATAGAATGTTATACATTGATTGTAATGATTTAATTTTGAATGAAGTAATTCCTTGCACAAAAACTTCAACATATGAAATCATGGCAGGTGAATTTACTGTTTCTATGTTGTCTTGTTTCTTGCATAGATATTGCTATTTTGGCCATCTTGTATAATTACCACTTTTCCTAAGAAATAAGTCTGCCCACCATGGACATGAGCTCCAGGTTTTAATTTATAAACTATTTAACATTTTATAAGGAGTAATATGTTTTCAGTACCTGGTCAATTTCATATTCACTAGTTGATTTATCATTTCTTTAATATTATGGCATGGAATGAAAGCAATCAGTATTAAATTTTTCACTTAAAACTGAGCACTGAACAGGTACTTGCACTTATAAATTTTGTTCATCTTTCAGAGGCAAATAAACTATATACAATTAAAATCATGTGTTAATGATATTTTCTACTTCTGAAGGAAAAACCTGGCTAGCCTTCTTATCCCGTATTGTGTAGAATGACCAGGTAATCAGCTGTAAGGCTCCTATGATCACAGGCTGGATGCACAGCAACAAGAACATGGTATCATGAAGAGAGCCGACTTGAGGAACAGTTAAGAGCTTCTTGTTTAGCTGTTGATAGCCAAAGCGATTAAGAACAGTCACTGTCAACATTGGAGACAGTGAAATGGCAGGTTTGGTGACTAAAGCATTGTTTCCATACACCAAAGAAGAGATTGGGTGGCTGAAAAGACACATATCAAATCTTAAAACCTGGTTACAAAAAAAGGAGACCCAAACGGCCTGTATTGCTCACCTGGATCTAAATGCCCAGCAATGTAATACATGCCTATAGGTTGGGTATTTAAAATATTTCCAAATAAAGCTCAGTTGCTGAACCATACTGATGGGGCAAGACCAATACGTAAATTGTTATATCATTAGTCTTTCTCTTTTAATTCCCAGGGAAATTTTATATGGCTATCTTGTTGGTGTCTCAATTATATAAAAAAAATATGACCCGGAAATAATATCCCTTGAAATGTGCCACACAATTCTTACATAACAAATGTGTTATTTCTTGATTCCAAGCAATTCTTTGTATATATGGTTATGGGGTGGGGATTTCAACTGTTTCAAAGAAATCACCCAGATATTAAGTCCAGAGGAGTGGGGCCACACTCAAAAGCCAGTTCTTATTTTGTGAATATGTTTATCTCTTGATACCTAGCACTGCCATACATGGTTTAGGGATGAGAATCTCAACTATTTCAAAAATATTACCATGAAACTGAATTCCTAGGAGTGGGGCCAGCCAATGGCCAATTCTTACATCATTGTGTTTATCTCTTCATGCCCAGCAATGCTAAACATGGTTTTAAAATGGGGATCTGTTTTCAAACACATTTCCCCTAATGAGCTCCACCTTCCTGTCCTAGGGAGCCAAGATCCACCGTTTATACAAATATGATTCCTTTTCACCAAAATATGATTCACACCAAATTTGGGCAAATTCAAATAATTCTTAAAGGAGTAGGATTTTAAAGAATTTGCTCTATTTCCCCAATTGGGCCCCTCCCCTCCTTCCCCAGGGGGCTGAAATCCACTTTTTATACAAAATTTATTCTTCTTGACCCAAAGATGCTTCAGATCAAATTTGAACAAAATCTAATCATTCCTACAGGATGAGTAGAATTTTAAAGGAACTTGTTAGTTTTCCCTTTTTGGGCCCTACCCCACAGGCCCTGGGTGAGCTAAAAATCATCATACATGCATAATACTGGAACATTATAGAATAATCTATCCTAGCGACTAATCATGAACACAGAACATAGTTATGGTTTTTCAAGGATAGTATATCTTATTTACTCCTCAACCTGAAATGTAGTCCTCTACAACAGTCTATACCTGATTGGTCAAATCATTCTGTCCACACAGCAACTGAGCTATTTTAAGGTATTAAAATATCAATATTCCCATTCCTGGAAGACTTACCTCCTGTGATGTTTCTGCATGTCTGTATCCACAATATCTGATAGAGGCATATTGAACAGAGAAAACATTGCATTGGCAAAACAGCTGAAAAATAAAACAAATGATGTATTACTTTCCTATTCTCCATATAGTCTAGAAACACTAATCAAAGATAGACTCACCTTCAAATAAGTAAATAACAATTTTTGAGCTATTTCAAGTTAGCATAAAAAGCATGTAAAGGATAGTGAATTAACTTGCTTTGTGTGTGGGGAAGGGAGTGTTCCTCAGTTTAAATATAAGTTGTCTGAGAACTGAAACGTTGCACAGAAATGCTTATAAACTTTTACTAGTGGCCTAATTGCTGAATGTCTGGTTTATTCAAGCTCAAAATTACACAAGGTTTAGTTCCAAGCTTTCATATCTCTGCATATGAAAATACATGTATACTATTCACAAAATCATTGAAGAATCTAGTAATACCTGTCCAGGGCCATATACGTCAGCACTAGAATTGGATAATTCCGTCCCATCATGTACATAAGAATCCCTGCCCCAATCTTCCATAGAAAGCTGACTTTTATAGTGGTGTAGTACCCAACCTTGCCTATCATTGGAGTTGTACTAATGATGAGTATCTAAAAAGAACAAAGTTGTCAGTTAGAATACAATCACAATTACTGATAAAAAGAAAACTATTTGTTATGTCATGAGTCTCATCATCCTTCTCATCTAACATTCCATCATAAGCCTCATCATCATTCTCATCTAACATTCCACAATAAACCTCATCATCTCTGTCATCTAACATTCCACCATGAACCTCATCATTTCTCTCATCTAACACCTCTATCATAAGCCTCATCATCTTTCTCATCTAACACCTCTACTATGAGCCTTATCATCTCTCTCATCTAACACCTCTACTATGAGCTTTATCATCTCTCTCATTTAACAAGTATGACTCTTCTCATAAGCCTTGTCATCATTATCTTTGGAAATCATACCTTCGTTAAAAGGGTTCTGTCTGTCTATCTGTAAATTCACATTTGGCTGTTATGTTAATCAATTGTGACAAAGTTATAGAATAAAATTGAGGATATATATATTCAGAACCATTCAGAGTGCTCATACCTTTACCATGAGTCTCAAGGTTATAATCGTTGGTACATCTTATCGTTTACATCATTACAAAACAACATGTATCCAGTCAGGCTCTCTGCACCCCTGGAACATGTCATGGCAAACTGAAGGCACAAGTGAAATAATTTGATTGGTTCTAAAAGAAAAAAACAGACCAATCACAGGCTGATATGCTTTTTTCGATGATTACAAAGGAGCGACACCCAACTTCAAAGCCATTACGATATACTTTTATGCACATAGAGATTCGTTTGATGTACATCAAAGGACCAAACTAGTCTTTTCATCTTGTCCACAAGGTGTGGCAGATCGAACCTTCAATTTTGCCATGACATGTTGCAGGAGTGCAGAGAGCAAACATGATCATAACCTCTGAAATATCGATGCCAGTCAGGTTAAGCTAGTTACTGCTGTATGACTGTAACAAAACAACAACTTACATTGAATGTTGTCTACATATCTTGCATCTTTACAAAAACTCAGTGCAAATAACAGTCAATTTTGTAATCAAGCTGACCTGCAAAGCCCAATGTTTGGGTGAAACCAGTAGACCATTTAAAATATTTCATGAATATCTTACCATTGGAAGGAACCTACTGCTGCCGTAGAAGAAGCTCTGTATCCATGGCAATGACTGATTTATGCTAAGAGATACTGTGAGCTCATCACCCATCACTTTCATGAAGTTTGCCATAAATGTTGTATGAAATATCTGGAAAAAGTTCATTATAACAAATGAGAGAAAATTCCTGTCCTTAAATATCTGCCATGTGAGACTCAAGTATGACATATTCTGTATGCTTTTGTCGTGAGTTATATTGGACTCCTGACCAGAGGTTATCTTCTCACGGTCATATTGAGTGTGCCCATTCATACCAGTGTATCTAAATAACAGATAGCTAGCTGCACCTATACAAATACTCCCAATTTGAAATCCAAAGAAGTTAGATAGGCTGCCTGAGGTATACTCCAGAATAGACACACTACATGCCCCAAATAAACACCCTATACTACCAATCCTGACCAGTTTCAGACGATGGTCAGGGTCCTGTGATATTTCAGTGAAGAGTGCTGAGGCAGCCAATCCTACATATGTTAACATGGTATCCCAGAAGAAGAGTGTAAAGATGAGGTGTATACCGACTATCACAGGGTTACTTCCCCAGGAAAACCAGGGAACAATGTACGACAGTGCAAATAGCGGAGCTGCATACAAAATGCTCTCACGTCGGGTGCGGGTGAATCGATTGCTCGTGGACTCCTGTAGGTAGGCGAACAGTGGATCATTTATGGCATTCCATACCAGGAAAAGCACTTGGGCAAGTTGGAACCACTTCTCCTCTATGTGGTAGATGTCCAGGAATACTTTCACATAGTAGAAGTTGAAAGATGAGGATATCAGTGAAAAAGCCATAGCTTGTGTGCCATAGGCCAGCATGCTCTGTCTTAGAGACGTCATGTCTTTAGTTGTTAAATGATTTCAATAGTTCAGGTGCTGAATGCTGACCAATCTCGGTAACTTAATCTGTCCAAGTTGAAAACATCACTACAAAAAGGAAAGAAAAAAAAGTCACAAACTTAAGAAACAGTCTACAAGTGTACTGTTTAAACACTCTGAAGACTTAATCAGTATAACATGTGTTATATACATTGAAAGCTTTCTTAAACACCACCTTATTATAAAGGCTACTTTGTTTCAGTTCCTCAAAAACGTTTTCTGTTGTTGTATTGCATGTTTCACTATTAATACCACCTTTGTACTTGCATATATCAACAGATGCATTATCAGTTACTACCCTTCAAATTTCTTACCAAAATGAGCAGGTTCTAAACAATCCATTTCAATCAATTTAATGAAAATATTATATTTACTAATATTAAATATTAAATGATACATCAGTATATATTTACATAATATCTGAATGTATGGAAACATCTTTTGATAGAATAATGTCAGCTCTTCGGTAGTGTCATTTTCTTATTATTTGAGGGATTGACATACGAAGTACATGTACTAGACTCATCTGTCAATACAATCGCGATCGTGAACTAGTGATAGACAATTACAAGCCCTGCATTAAGTCTACAAATCTACTGCCTGTAGTCAGTATTCGGATAACTGCTGTCAGTTCGGTGACTGAGCTGTACAGTGTCATGCACAATACGTATTTAAGATGTACAACTTATCGTTGTTAAGCTTTGCTTTTCTAGTTTTCACAGTAAGTTTAACTTCAGAAATGTTAAATTCAGGAGAAAATAACACCGTCAAAATATTTACCTCACTACCTGACGCGTCAGTGCATTTTATTTTGTACTTAAGATATACTCATTGCAAGTACATCAATTGCTTGTACCGAATCAAACATTTGGATGCTTACAATCTGTGTCCAATTCCATAGTTAAATATTCATATCATTCTAATAAACCATTGTACCATAACCATGAACGTTTTGTTTAACTACAGTTTTTTCATGGTTCAGAGGTCTGGCTACAACTGCAGATATAATGGACGTACAGTCCATACCAATACTATTACTTAGTACTATGTACAAAAGAGTATTCAATGACCAGACTCAATGTGATTTTCACTAGTTGCAAACCACAAGTTAAAATTAATATCACAGCTGATAGTGTTAATCAGATTTATGCAAGAAACTAACAGAGGGTTACAAAGAAAGAATGTATTCACCGGAAATAAACTAGTCAGTGAGAAATGTTTTGAGGAATCTGAGAAAAACAATTGTGGAGGAAAGAAGAAAGGAACCAATAGTCCACCGCCAAACTCCCAGGAACCTGAGAAATCATGAGAGAAATAAACGAAAGGAAATCCTGATAATGTAATAACATTATCTATACAATAGAGGAGGATACCCCACGATATAGAAATGTGTGATTAGGATCCTGAACAGACGTGAAGTCAGAGATGAAGACAATAAGAAGTGTTTTAGATTAGGGAGATTCACAACAGGAAACAGTGACAAGAAAAAAAGCCAGACCTGTATTTTGGTGTCACTAATTGCTTATCTTTTTCCAGTGTATGAACTCTATGATTCCTCTTCTGATTGGAAAACTTGTAAGCCCTTGGCTTGTTAAGGAGTCTGTAGTGGAGACCATAGATATCTATGGTGGAGACAGTGTCGGATGTCTTCTTGTAGGTAAATGCGATCTATTGAAAATCCTTGATCTGTTGCTTCTGTCCACTGATTCATTACATCAAGCATTTGTAGCGATATAGACCCTCCTGGTAAGAATCCAAACTGTGTTGTGTTGACTGAAGTCAGGCTTACAGGTCACTTTTCTGTATGTGGCTCTATTATGTTCTTTTTAAATCGTTTGGTGTATACCACATAATTAAAGATTGATTGAAAGGTGGTGTGAATGGTGTTGCTATCGATTTTGTGCTGTTTCAGTACTGTCTGATGAAGATTATCTGTACCTGTGGATTTGTCTATTAACAGTGCTTGCAGTGCTTAATTCAGTCATCTTCCAGCTATGGTACATTTCCTTCAATTTCCCTGACAAAAACACTTTTTAAAAAGTTGGTAAGAATGTTACCGAACTTTCTCTTGTCCTTTTAGTTGATGGGTAGGTCTCCAACTCCGGATCTTGTTTTAGATTTTTTCTTCATAAATTTCAAGATAAGTTTTTAGATTAAGCTTGGTCTTTGCTTAAATATCCCTTTCAAGTAGGTTCCTCATCTTTGTTGTTTCTCTCTTAACTTGAATTTTTACACGTTTATATTCTCTCTGTAGCTCTGAGACTCTGCATTGCATTGCTTTGTTTTTGCAAGTATTTTGTTTTTGCAAGCTTTATTGCAATACCAGAAGTGAAGAAGTGAATATAACCCTTTTCAAAAATATAAAGAGCCTTGGACACAGTGAAGATTTTAGGAAGTAAAAGGCTTTGGAGTGAAGTCAAACCAAAGCAGGGTACCAGCACGTCGGGGGAATGTGTTTTCTATTCAGTGGTCCATCCACGGCAAGAAAAGTCACCAAAGTTAAAATCAGGATGTATCAGGAGAACACAGTCATCTTATCCACTGAAGCAGAACAAAATCGATGCTTGAATGATGAATTGTATTGTCTCAAACAGAAGATATTTCATTTGATTTCCGGTAATTGAATATCCGTTCTTAAATATAAAAATACACGAACTTCAGATTGTAGCAAATTATGGTAAAGCAAGGATAATATCTACCACAGAGACCTGATTATGTGACTCCATTACTAAATTGGGGTTTGTTTTAGAAGTATATTATATTGTCAGAAGAGATAGGAATCGGTCCGACGACGGAGTCTACACCTACATTAGGGAGAATCAGCTGGACATCCCAGCGAAATTCTTGAATTCCTTACCATTGACCCCTTCTTACCAAAATCTAAGCATATTATCGTTGCAACTTAGTACAGGCAACCTAAGCAATCCAATCTTATAAAATGTTTTGAGGAATACTTACACAATTTAAGGCCAGATTATGGGATAATTTAATCAGGATACTTTCTTCAATATTTGTTGCCTCGACCAAAACAATATTTTAAGTAAAACACATAGCGACCTTCTGAAATAGCTCAATCAGGATCAGATTAGCTCATTACATACACGTGTCACTGGTACTTCCAACCTACTTGTAGATCACGGCACTAAAAAGATGTACTTTAACAATAGCACACAACACTTACTGTTTCTAATACCAGTCCAATGCTCAAAATACTACTATTGAGGCAAGGCTTTGAAACCCTATAAAGTAAATTAAATTGATATAAATTTTACAATTCAAACGTACTTTTGTCATTCTGAATCTTAATCGGTCGTCGGGGATCCCATTGGAAATAAGCCTTCTAGGCTTGGATGGGTCATTCCTGGTAAAATAACATTTTTATCAACAATATCGGTTACAAACATTTGTTGACAATAATCAACGATCATACAATAATGATTTAATATATACACGTATAAATTATCTACAGTGTATGATATACGTATATATGTTTATATGGATATACGTGTCTATGGATATACGTAATTATGGATATATGTGTATATGGATATACGGATATTTGTTCCTTATTAACACATTAAGGCATCTTTTAAGCGATGTTTTATGTAACCATGTACATCCTGTTGTTTTGTCTGGATAAATATTATTATCACTATTGTCATTACAGTATTTGATATTATGCAGCGGTTCGGTAATGATGTTTATTATACTTGATAGTGAAAATTAAAAAAAAAAGATTTAAAAAAAACTGAGAGAAGTCTGTATTTAAACATTGACTGTAAAGTATGAACACTGATTCAGAGTCTGATTTCCCCTCATACATAGGGAATAATAGCGAATGTCACGATATATTTAGATTCACTTAGCCTACACTATCCTTGGGTAAAGTAACATGACATTTAGACGAACCAGTTCCGGCTGCCATCTTTTTTATCTGGTTGGTAGGTACGTATCAGAGATATTTTATTGTCATTCATGCTCCTTCTTTATTGCATATATGAGAAAGGGACAAAGTGACTAATGACATGGTTATTATTTTCGACAACAACAGCGATATTTGAAGGCCGTGATCGGTTTTCAATGGAAGGATGAAAGCCGTGTCTGATGACCCTCTCTTGCCCTTGATTTTGCATTGCAAATTCACTCTGGACTTGATTTGTTGCGACGGCCTAGATTCGATATATTTATTTTTCATTTCCAACTCTTTATTATATGTTTTTATTACGTATTATTGTTATATGGCATTTTTGTGTTATAAAATTGGATATAACACTGATCGGATCGGGTTGTTTGAGACGTGACATATCAGTTGTTCACCAGGCTGGGCACAACCCCACATAGATCAAGTCCTGCATTTGAGGGATAGTTACTAGTTTGAGTAATCAGTTAGTTACTCAGCTACATGATTAAAAAAAAGAGAAAAACCTAAGTGTGTTTAAAAAAGTTGCAACGAAAAAAAAATTCCAGTGATGTGGTTACATTTCACCATTGCAAATTTTTGTACTTGCATCCCTTTACACGTTCAGATATTGAGGCACAAAATTTGCTTAATTCATTATGAAAACACCTTATATTTCACTTGCTTCCACCACACGATTCACATTCCTTGCGGGTTATCATTTTTCCGCATGGAAACATGCAGAAAGTGCACCTGTGGTCTGAATCTGCATCAGAGGGATGCTTATCTGCAGATGACACAATGCATGAATGATGCCATGTTGGATGGACTTGTTATAGAGTTTGTTACTATGTAAATAGCAAGCGTATGTGGATTCTGAAAATATGAAACTTGCCTGAAATGGAACAAATGTGCCAAAAACATTCATTTCACTGACTTGTATGGTTCATCATCTTCTGCACAAAGAAATGTGTTTAGTCAGATTTTACTATATAGCCAAATCTGTCTATATAGTCTACTGGTACTTAATACCTGAATTTATATAAGTTCATAGAAAATATTCATTTCTGTCATCTAACTTTTTGTTAAAATGGCAATTTATATCACTAACTTTGTTCTCCACTGACTACATTACATAGCCAGTAGCAGTTTTTAGTACAAATATCATACAATTTAGGTTAGCATGAATTTACCTTTGTTCTATTTTTTATCCACACTATAAGCTGATAAGCAATGGAGGTGATAATGTTTGTGATTTTTACAAAAAGTGAAACAACTTTATTCATAGCTTTTTGTGTAAAATGGTACAAGGTCGCATTGGTTCTTTGGCCATGTGAAAAATATGATGCTTTTATTTATAGCAAATGTTAAAAAGAACTTATGTGTATCTTTTTCAAATGACTGCGTTTTGGTAACTAAATGATTACTGAAAGCAGTAACTATCCCTAAAATGCAGAACTTTTACTCATACCAATGATAAGAAGATTCTTCTTCTAGTGAATGCAGTCCACCATTTGGTGTATAAATAAACTAGCAGATAGATACAAGATAAATTGTATCAACACAAACAAGATACTTACTAACAAAAATATTCAGAATCAAAGATATTTTGCTTTTAAATGTCATAGCTATCTAAATTTTGAAAAATAAATGACCTTGACCAAAAGGAGCCATATTTGATAAAATGCAGCGATATCTTTTTTTCTTTCATTGAAATGACTTGGATGCTGTCTGTTAACTAGTATCTAATGTCCCCAAGTTTTGGAAGTGTTGAAATTTGTAAAGATAGATAACTCTTATTATATTACATAGATTTTCTAATAAGAGTTAATTGTTCATGTAAATTCACTCATTAAATAAAAATTCAGCATTTCCACAAACCAATATTTCTTTAGCATTGCTTAGATAAATCATGTCAAAATATTTGTTTTTTCCAATGATTCAATATTAATTGTGGTGCCGATAACGAAATTCAGATGCACTTATCTTGATGCATTCAATTATGACAGAACTGTATTACTATGGCAGCATAAGCATGCTCTTATACAAAAACGACATGGCTGCAGTAGTATTTGGTAAGTAAAGTGAACATCTATTCAGTCGTTCTGGCAGTTGCAAAATGACCATTGGAAATAGTGAAAGCGTGGGGAATGGCTTACAGCTTTCCATTTTATTGAATTAATCTTTTGATGTGTTTTATATAATTAATATTGTATTTCTCTTTTATTTATAGAAAAAATCAAATCTCAACATGACAGATGTAGAAAAACTTACAAGTCCTGATAGTAAGTACACAAACACAATGCTTTCTGTAGAATAATTAAATGTTATGTTAAGTTCAGCATACCTGGCAATGATCTTGATTGGTATTTTAGTACAGTTTAATAATCAGGTGAAAGTGTGCTCTTTTTATGCATATACTAGCACAGGAGATTAGATAATGAATTTAGGTTTTAACAGGAGACAAAGTCAAGTCTTGTAATGCGAGACTCCTCTGAAGATGTTAGTATGTTTCTTTCAAATGAAGATTGGGATTTATGTATAATTCTGTATAGAATTAGTTACTTAAGGTAGGAGACAATACCATTTGACATGATTTGATTTAGTTGTGGTATCATAATTGAATTTAACCCCAGGATTGAGAATATCAGCTACTGTACTGTAATGGTTACTGCCTTTATCAACATTCTGATATTACTGACAAACTCATTTGAAGTGGAGAACCTTCAGAAGCTGATGGGCAGGGTCAAAAGAGGTTAAGTGACTCAAATTTCAAAGATCTTCTCAGTAACCTGTTATAACAGAATCTATTAAATACTGTTTCTGGATGGAGGAGATTTTATAGGAAAAATTACATTTTTGAGTAATTTATTTCAATTCAAATTAGAAACCTGAGTCTGGCAGTTATTGTGATGCGCAGTTTACATTTTATTTGCATTCATGTACATTGTAGTTCAAGTTATCTTACTTCGTTAACAAGATTAATTCAATGACATGTTACAATAAGAACAACAGCATTACATCTCAGGTGACGGATGTCAAATTGTTTAGTCGTACTGCACTGCACTCAGATTGAAAATGCCAACATTTAGCTTGGTGTGATTGACGTTTAGTTATATACTTTGAACATGAAAAACAACTCTTATGGTAAATTAAGAAGAGATTGTACATTGTTCTGCTATTGTATATCATTATTATCATATTAAAACTTACACATGTGAAAGGCATTTGGTATGGAAGTAAGTTTTTGTCACTTTCAAACATAAACAAAAACCTCTATATTTCAAACCCTTAGTTGAAAACTCACATGCTTTGTTGAAGGTATCCATAACTTGTAAGATATTCCTTGATCTATTCCATCTGAATCATATTTACTTTAATAATGCTTCTTGATGTACATACAGTCATTGGTAATATTTGACAATCTCTGTTTATTTGTAGCAAAGACAAGGCAGGTGATTTATACTCCGAAGTATGATGCTAGGTTTCCCAACCAGAACTCAAACAAGTGAGTATTCAGTTTGATTGACAAATCAATTTGAATAGAAAAAAATACTATTTTACATGTCGTGTAATACTGTAATGGGAAACGTACATCAAGTTAGCAAAAATTGTTAGTCCTAAAATGAAATGGATACTGCTAAGACCAAAGGGAACCTACATCTGAAATATAGGAAAGATACATCAAGCATTTCTCAAGAAAAAACAATAACAAACTTTCATCGTCCAAATCCAAGATAGCCTGCTTGTCTGCCATTTTCTTTTTCTGATCAGTCCCAAGACCAAAGAGGCACAATTTGGTACCAAGAGGAACCTACTTTTGAAATTTGAGAATGATCCATCCAATATTTCTCATGAAATAGAGATAACAAGAACTGTTTATGGATGATTGACCATGAATGTAGTGTAGGACGATTTGATCATCCACAATCATCAGATGGTTGGAAAAAAATTAACAAAATGTGGGCTGTTAGTAGTAGAGTGACAAAGATCATTGGGTTGTATCAATTTAATCTGCATCTCCTCTGGAATTATGTAAATATCAATCAAATTCAGCTGCAAGTGTTTCTGTGTGTAACGATTCAGAAATAGCTGGGTGGTATCAGAGATTTAATTGGATATATGGCTTTGTGTTACCGACACCCATTCATTTGATTCTAACCATTGAGCCTGAAACTTGTACTAAAATGTAGTCTAACGTAGATCTTATTGTGGGATATATATACAGGCAGAAGGATACAGATGCCACATCACTCTGTTTTTATGTCCCCAAACAAAGGGATGGGAGGGGGGCGTATTGTTTTTGCTCTGTTTCTTCTTATTAGTACATTACAAACTTATTTTTTTATTGGACAAAATGACCGTCCTACACAGATTAATATGGTGAAATTCATATATTGCTCAATTTTCATTGAGTTTCTTACCAACCTTACACTATGTACATCAATTATAACTGTGTTGGTGTTAGGAGGACATATGTAACGGTCCCCGTTACAATAAGTACTTGCTAAGTATAACATGCAGAGAAGTTAAGATTTGGGCTAAGTCTGTTGTCTGACTGCCGGTGATTCATTAGATTACCAGCAACTTGTTTGTAATTGCTGCAGAATGAGTCACTTTATTTTCTTTGTAAAAATTGAACTGGTGGTTGTTTGTAGGATGTGCTGGCAATACTATGTGGATTACCATCGCTGTGTAAGGAAAATGGGAGAAGAATATGATGGATGCATGTACTTCAAGCAGGCCTATACAAGCCTTTGCCCATCTGATTGGGTGAGTAGATTTCAGAAAGCCATATTGTGGGCTGTTAATTGTAGAGAAAATAAGTCTTTATTAGTGCTAGCTTGTAGATTATTACCTCACAACTAAGTTAGAGATAAGGTGTACTGATATTACTGTCTGTAATAAAATTGGATCCCTAGATGATTTCACTTGTTTATAATACAGGAGTGATAAATAGTAATATTGCTGTTCGAAATTTGAATTCTTGCTTTTCTTTCTGTTTCAGGTTGAAAGATGGGATGAACAACAGGAGAAAGGATTCTTTGCATGTCGTATCATGGATAAATAAACGGAATGTGTGTTAGATTTGGACATTGATTTTTGAATATTGTCAAGGTTCACTGATTGTAAACTTGTGTTACATTAAATATAAATAAAAGTCATCTTTTGGTTTTAACTTCACAACTTATACATTGAAGGAAGATAAAAAATGTCCTCCATTCGCAGACCTGGAAGGAACTTTATTGCAATAAGAACGAGTATAAAAAAAAGGGAAAAAAAACATTTACAGACATAGAAGGGACAGAACAAAAGCAAGTATATAGTAAAACAAAAGGCCAAATGGGCCTGCATTGCGAATCTTGTATTAAATGTTCATCAAAAATAGAATCAGTGTTTATCACAAATACGTAGAAATGTACACCATTGGCATTCAAAGTGGGAACATCCAATCAGCTTCAACTAATTTCCACAACAGACAGCTTCTAATACTCGACTGTAGACAGAGACAGTTATGACCTGGGTTATGGATAAATGTCATTTCATTTTTCCTCAAAATATGTCAGGCTTTGACCTATAAACATCTTTCCACCAAATATTGTGTTTCTTGGACTTTTAGTTTACCTGAAGAAATCTTTTACAGGTTTTGACCCTTGTGACCTAGAATATGGGTTAAGGTCATTTCTTGTTTGCACACTTTGTTGGGCTTCATCCCAGAGACCTATCGGCCAAATATCATGCATGTGAGTGTTTTGTTTTTTCAGAAGCTGTTTAAAGATTTAAAAATTCAAACCTTGTGACTTTGGAAAAAGGTCAAGGTCATTTTCTTTTCGCAAAATTTTATTGGGCTTAATCCTAGGAACCTATCAGCTATATACCATGTTTCTGTTCCATTAAGTTAGTCAAGTTTTTTTTTTCTGAAAACATTATTGGGCTTAATCCCTTGGAACCTATCCGCCAAATACCATGTTTCTGTGCCTTTTGTTTAGTCAAAGCAGTTGTTCAAAGTTTTGAATAAATTTGCCCCTTGTGACCTTGAAAATAGGTCAAGGATATTTCTTGTTGCAAAAAAATTATTGGACTTAATCCTAGGAACCAATTGGCTAAATACCATGCTTCTGTGCCTTTGGGTTAATCAGAAGTAGTTTTTGAAAGGGTTGAACAAATTTGACCCCTGTGATGTTGAACAAGGGTAAAGGTCATTTCATTATACAAATTTTAAAGGGCTTCACATATCCAAACAACCGACCAGCCAAATACCATGACATTTGGTTTGCTGGTTTTTGAAGAGAATTTATTTAAATGGAAAAGTTTACTTTTGACTGAGGGTGGCTGCCGAACACTCCTCCTTGGCATAAGCTCAGATGGACCTTCCGGCCAAGTGAGCTAAAAAACCTACTTGCAGACATAGGAGGGACATAACTTCAGTAAAAACGAGTATCAAAACATTTACAGTCATAGAAGGTACTTAACTGCAATACATTTACCGACACAGAAAGGACATAACTTACGTAAGAACAGGCGTATCAAATATAGAACAGGTGTTCAATTTGTTTGTGTGCTGTCAACATAGAGGATTCTTTACATAATTTGTATTAAAATCAGGAAGAACTACAGACTACTGTGGGCATAACCTATTTAAGATTGTATTTGTCATTTCCTGTTTGTGTATAGAATAGTGCAAAATTTATGATATACATCCACAAGGTATCTTTCAAATCAAAGAAGTATTCAGTTCTTAATTAACAAGCAATCCTCTTATGCACCTTTTGAATATGTTGCAGTCAAATTGAAGACTCACAGTAAGTCATTTAATGGCTGTTGATGTAAAATTCTACCAGTCCATTAAATATACCTTAATAAAATTTAGTCAATTTGATTGTTCCACTGCTAAGACACTCCTGTTCCATCCAATCATTGGTAGAGATTTCTATGTTGCTGTGCAGGCCTTTTTGTTGTGACATATCCAAAGGGTCTAGGGGATATACAGTGTATTCACAATGGAACTATTGAATTTGTAGTGCTGTTTACCATATAGTTTCAAAGAAATAGTACAAAGGAAAAGACAAGGAGACAATGACACCAATATTTATAACATATTTCCAATATTTATTGATGATTGCTGTATAACAGTAAAATACAGAGATAATGGATCTACACTACCGTGATGATAAGACATCTTATCCATGGTATATGGTTTTTCTATGAAGGCTCTTATTGTACACCAATACATCACGGGACGGACATCATATACCTGTAAAACCTAACAGTGGAATGTAACTTCATGACTTCTCCATAACAAATATATACCTTCCTACCTACATATAAGGCCAATCTAGAAAGCTCAAATTAAGATACCACCAATATTACTAATAAATAAAAGCAATTCAAATTCTTCTGTGTGTTATGAGATTGCATCCATTTTACATGAGCTTAAGTAGAATTTGATTAGTGAAAAAACAATAAAAGAATTAGACAAACATTTTTGACAAACTATAAAATCGAAACCATTTTTGGAAGCTTTACAATTAAACTCAAGTAAAATGATAAAATGCAGATTAGAAAGAATAGATTGTAATCATAAACTGTTTCTCTTCTTAACAAAATATTTATTGTTTACATTGCCATGATTGTTATTGAAAGTTTCATTAGAACAACATACTGCTAATTTTGTAGTTTTGACCAGACTAAGATCTCTATTTCCATGGAATCCAATCCACAGATTCAACAACTGTTATGGTTATTTTCAACTATATAAAATCTTTGCGGCATGACTCTCATACAAAACTTTTCATGTCGAACTCACAAAGTACAAAAAATCAACCCTCTCTTCTGGAGCCTCCAGGTTACACAATGCCATAACACCCACACGCACACATACACAACTTCATCCAGTGAGCAATAAATTAGTGTTGAACAATTTGGAGACAACCTCGCAAAAATAAATATCACAGAAGCAAGATTTTAATCATCATACTATGCAAGAACGTGTATAAACCTTGGACGGCATCAACATGTCTGACTTTAATGAAAGTCTAATATGAGTAGGGATGCTAAATTATGTTCATGTGTATAATATTTAACTTATTAGTGTTGAACTAATAGATATGATAGATCTTTTACTACAGGATCAAGTCCATTAAAATGGAAATATTGAGGATAAAGTTTTGTCTTTAATTCTCAACCAACAAATAAATACATCATTTAATTGATGTTCATGTTAATGTTTGATATGAGATCAGTTGTCATTTCAGCCTCCAGGCAAGTTTATTGGTCTTTATAAAATAGATATCACAAATGCAGTTTCACTGAGGCCTGGATGACAACTAACAATGAACAGCAGTGCCCTGTTCAGTAAGCTGAATGAAGCTGAATGACTGGAATATTACAGATACGTCAACACAAATCATCATAACTTCAGACCATAAGTTGGTTAAGATTCAGGTCACAACATCATGTTGGAAACCTGATGATAGTACACTGCTGAATGTGGAGTCTCTAACTATGGTTCCTTAGGAGATTTTTGATGCAGCCTTTTCTTTGACTTGCCATCTTTATTCTGAGCAGATATTCCTGTCACACGTGACACAAGAGTTTGATGTCTTTTCTATGACTTAACATCTTTATTCTGAGCACATTCCTGTCACATGTGTCACAGTTTTGTGCCTTGACAGTCATTTCTATGACTTCAGACATGGTTATATAATTAATGGCACAGTCTTCTATAGAACTTATGACAGTCTTTGCCCAAAGCTCTGTAAATTCATAGGTCTGCTGACAGTGTCTGATTAGAAGACATGCTACCAAATATGGATTTCTACCTACACAGCTACCCCTATAATCAGCGTCTCTTTTTGCCCTGCCCTGCCACGCTGGTCTTTGGTCGTAAATCTGAAGCAGTAACAGATATTACATGATAATTTTTGTTAATATGAACCTTATTACCAACAATAAATCACTTAATCTGTGACTAGCTCAAAATGAATAATTATTCAGTGCTTAACAACTTTTTCAGAATTATTGTTAAAAGGTGAACATTTCACTTTTTTTAGCTAAAGGGTTTTTGTCAAAATTTTGGATTTTGTTAAATTCTAACTATTGCTGAAGAACATTTTGACGTCCCAGCCTCGTTCCACATTCCAAATATGCATGTATATTACCAGACTAAGCTAAAGGGGAGAGAAGTAGCCTTCATGGTCATCTGTCCTAAGAGAGACAGGATATTGTTGATTACATACATCATTGCATCATTTTAGACTACAATATCAAAATATGGAAAATTGTGACAAAACCCCTATAAAACTGGATATGGAACATGACGGTAACAAGGGTATAAATGACTATGGAATAATAGATCTACCATAACCTTCAAGAACAACATGCTAACCTTGATTGACTGGTTTGCCCGCCTGAGCTTTCTTTGGGTCATTATAATGACTGACCACCATCTTGTCATTGGTCAGCTGTATATCCTGGTCTACAGCCTGGTTACTACAACACACAACACAAAGCGATCATGTTCCATCCTCTAAAACTTAAGTCTCATTCATTCACAGGTGAATGATAGTATGAATGGGTCTACTTACCAGAGGTGTTTTGTGACGTTTGTACAAGTATGAGACTAAGTTTCTAAATTATGTGATCAGAGCCTAGTTCCCTGATTAAGGTGTGTTTAGGGCCTATTTCCCTGATTATGGTGTGTTTAGGGCCTAGTTCCCTGATTAAGGTGTGTTTATTGCCTAGTTCCCTGATTAAGGTGTGTTTAGGGCCTAGTTCCCTGATTAAGGTGTGTTTAGGGCCTAGTTCCCTGATTATGGTGTGTTTATGGTCTAGTTCCCTGATTAAGGTATGTTTATTGCCTAGTTCCCTGATTAAGGTGTGTTTAGGGCCTAGTTCCCTGATTAAGGTGTGTTTATTGCCTAGTTCCCTGATTAAGGTGTGTTTAGGGCCTAGTTCCCTGATTAAGGTGTGTTTAGGGTCTAGTTCCCTGATTAAGGTGTGTTTAGGGATTAAGGTGTGTTTAGGGCCTAGTTCCCTGATTAAGGTGTGTTTAGGGCCTAGTTCCCTGATTATGGTGTGTTTATGGTCTAGTTCCCAGATAAAGGTGTGTTTATGGTCTAGTTCCCAGATAAAGGTGTGTTTATTGCCTAGTTCCCTGATTATGGTGTGTTTAGGGCATAGTTCCCTAGTTATGGTGTATTTGTGACCTAGTTATCAGATAACACCTCTTTTGGGACTTAATTTCCAGTATGGGACATAGTTACCTGATGATAGTGTGTTTCTCACGCTGAAGAATCTCCTTGTTCTGTGTGAAAACAATGGTGTGATGTCTTTGAGGACCCTCCATGTTGGGCAGAATCCCTCGAGCTCCTGTTGTGACCATGTGTAACATCCCATTATACACCAGCAGGTCATCCACCAATAACTGTCGACAGAAAGAGAATAACTCTAGTTCTATGATGTTTTATGTTTTTAATGGGATCTAATGAGATCTGCTCTATCTGATATGAACTGTTCAAGACTATCATGATAGACTTACAGCTAGGTCCTTTGCACCTCTTTGTGGAGTCTTGCTGTAGTTCCAGATCTTTATCATAGATACTGTTGTTGGTTGGTCAAATATCACATACACTCTGTTCACCTGAAGCACAAAAAATACACTTCTAGGATCACATACAACATAGTCTGTAGACCTTACAAAAGTCATGATAGTTAAAGGGAATTATTCTCTTTTAACATTCTGTTAATATAATGATAAACCATGACTGGAAATTAAACTACAATACATTGAATCAAGTATGAAATAATAATGTTTATAAAGAATTTTTGGAATCATCAATATATAAAACTTGACAGACTGTGACATACGTACCATGGAAGGCAGCACTGGAGCAAGCCACATATGACTTCCGTCTGATGTATCTTGGACACCATCGATAAGTTTGTCAGGGGTCCTTGCGTCATTGTTCTTGTCATTTAGCACGTTAACACTGTCAGGATAAGCTGATATGTCTGAAAATTAATAAAATACAATTTAATATGCAATTTGTCATAAAGAACTAAAAAAAGGACATAAAATTTTCAGTGCTGTCTTACACAGGGAAATATTATCAACATATTTATACTATGTTTTGTTCTTACAGGTACATAAATAACATTTGGAATGAAAACTAAAGAAGTGTTATGCAATGGGAGTCTTCCAATTTTTGTAAGTATCATAAAGTGATGCGGGTTCTTTGTATGATACCAATGCACTTCACTTAATACTGAAAGGATCATGTTGGCCGAGTAGTTAAGGTGTCTGACTGTCTTCATCACTAGTTCTCCACCTCTGCGTCGCAGGTTCAAGGTCAACACGGGGCAGTGGCCAGGCAGGTGGTTTTTTTCCAGGAACTTTGGTTTTCCCAACCAGGAACATTAAATGGCCCTATAGGACATATAGCAACATAATGCTGAACATAGATTTTTACTAGTAATAGGACATACTTGTCTCAGTGAGCTGAATTTGATTTAAGGCAGCATCGTAAAACTCTATCCCATTCAGCCCAATGTAGTATGGATCACCCCACGTGGACATCAACTGTAACTGGTATATGACTAATACACAAGTCAAGGTAAATATCACACTCTAGTTCAAAGTCAACAAAGCTATGTACTGCTAGATGATAGGGTTTGAAAACAATGTTAGCCTCTGACATACTCTAAAGATGTTTACAACAAGTGTGAGTAAAAGGATACAGCCACATGGCATCTGTACCGCTTCATATTCTTGTCCAGAGTCATCCTCACTGACAGAAGATCTATAATACAAGATGTCGGTAGTTACAATAGATAGTACTATTATAGTACTCTCTGTTATCAGAAATATAATGTTGATGCCGAGTTGAAATTGGATATTCTTATACACTTCTTTATAGTATTATAAGAATTATACAGGATTCCTTCAATTCATGCCTTTCATGTTCTAGTAAATTTTGTTGAAATTTTCAGTATCAGCAGTTTCAAAACTATATCAAAATGTATTTTTGAATTGCAAAGAAATCTTGTGCAGTTAATAAGTGTGTAAAATATGATAATTTCTATGTGATAAATATTTCCACTTCACAGTTTTCAATGACAATATCTCATATTATTGTACCATGTGGTAGTATTGTACCCTACTCACCTCATGGCACCAGAGCCAGATTTAACCTGGTGAGGTATGGATGCTGGTTTCTCCTGGGGAGCGAAACTGATCTCCTGGGCAAAGTCAAAATGACATACCCCTGGTCCTTTGCGTATGAGGTAACCATCCCTAGGAGATATCTTCTTTCCATCTATTGATACATGGACAGTCTTGGCCTGAAATAAAAGCATTATTTAAGTAAAGTAAATGTAAACCAGTAAATATTTCTTCTGTTGATAACAAGGTAGGCTACTAGCTACAGTGTATATCAACCAGGTCAGAGAAACTGTATACTGACAACTGTATATATCAACCTGGTTAGAGAAACTGTACACTGACAACTGTATATATCAACCAGGTTAGAGAAACTGTTTACCAACAACTGTATATATCAACCAGGTTAGAGAAACTGTATAATGACAACTGTATATATCAACCAGGTTAGAGAAACTGTATACTGACAACTGTATATATCAACCAGGTTAGAGAAACTGTATAGTGACAACTGTATATATCAACCAGGTTAGAGAAACTGTACACTGACAAGTGTATATATCAACCAGGTCAGAGAAACTGTATACTGACAACTGTATATATCAACCTGGTTAGAGAAACTATATACTGACATCTGTATATATCAACCTGGTTAGAGAAACTGTACACTGACAACTGTATATATATACCAGGTTAGAGAAACTGTATACTGACAACTGTATATATCAACAAGGTTAGAGAAACTGTATACTGACAACTGTATTTATCAACCAGGTTAGAGAAACTGTATACTGACAACTGTATATATCAACCAGGTCAGAGAAATTGTACACTGACAACTGTATATATCAACAAGGTTAGAGAAACTGTACACTGACAACTGTATATATCAACCAGGTTAGAGAAATTGTACACTGACAACTGTATATATCAACCAGGTTAGAGAAATTGTACACTGACAACTGTATATATCAACCAGGTTAGAGAAACTGTATACTGAAAACTGTATATATCAACCAGGTTAGAGAAACTGTATACTAACAACTGTACATATCAACCAGGTCATAGAAACGGTCTACCGACAACTGTGTATATTGACAGGTCAGAAAAACTCTGACAACTGTAAATTTCCATGGAAAATGAATACAATATATTATGTATTTTCTGTATGTTTGTTGACCAGTGTGTATACAGACCCCACGATATGTATCCTCTGCACTTTTGTTGTAGTTCCATACTCTCAGCCCTGCCACTAATACTGTCTGGCCAAAGTCTATTGTGAGGCTGTGATTTTTTCCTTCCGTAAATGGCACAAGCCACATGTGTTCATCAGACATTGTTACATTGGTACCATCTATAACCCTGTAACAACACATATAAAATACACAAGTTTTAAACAACACACAACTGAATACAATAAAACTTTTATTCACTTAATGTTCCATGGCTACTACTTTTCAGAAGAATTACAAAGAAATGCTTATTCACTGTCTAAACCAAACTTTGCTTCAAAGAAACTGAAGGACATGAAACGCTTACTTATCCAATGTGCGGTCATCCCTTTCATGACCTGGAAGTGAATGTAAATCCATTGGATTAGCAGTGAGCATGCTCAATTTGAGAGGAAGTGCTTCTCCATCTTTTCCAACAACCTCAAGACTAGTGAGACCCATGTAATGAAGGTCACCCCATGTTTCTGTGAAATTTAGCTCCAAACCTGAAGAAAATTAAAACGGGTAAGTATAGTGTACTTAAGTAATATCTATTTAACTAATATAACGAGTTCATTTATCACATGATTACCCTAATCTCGGTGAAATAATACCCAATGAATGAATTTCCGTTGACACATGTGTAATATGACCGAGTAGAGCTTTGATTGGCTGAGGGTTTCCATTGTTTGAAGTGCAACATCATACCTACATGGTAACATATGTGTTGCAATGTCACCAAAAATAGATATGTAGTAGGAATATCACCAGGTATTCATTCACAAAGAACATTGCCTTTATGTAAATACATGTGAAAATATCAAAGTTATGTAATAATCAGAGTCTTACATTCATTTCTATGTATAACGAGATATAAGAAATAAGTGACTACTTTTTAATTATACCTCGTCAGTGGTTTAGGATAAATGATAAAATCTAAGACTTATTTAATCAATCTCATACAAATAAAAATATTTAAGATCCTTTACATAGAAAGCAAGAACATCACAAATAACAATCAGGTCTGATACCCTAGTTTTCCATCTCGTCTATCCTTAATCCCCTGGATACTGTACACCATAAGGCCCCCTCCCCAGTGACACTTACATCTCCCCCTGAACACAATAAGGTCTCCCTCCCCAGTGATACTTACATCTCCCCCTGAACACAATAAGGTCTATCCCAGTGACACTTACATCTCCCCCTGAACACAATAAGGTCTATCCCCAGTGACACTTACATCTCCCCCTGAACACAATAAGGTCTCCCTCCCCAGTGATACTTACATCTCCCCCTGAACACAATAAGGTCTCCCTCCCCAGTGATACTTACATCTCCCCCTGAACACAATAAGGTCTCTCCCCAGTGACACTTACATCTCCCCCTGAACACAATAAGGTCTATCCCCAGTGACACTTACATCTCCCCCTAAACACAATAAGGTCTCCCTCCCAAGTGATACTTACATCTCCCCCTGAACACAATAAGGTCTCCCTCCCCAGTGATACTTAAATCTCCCCTGTACACCATAAGGCCCCCTCCCCAGTGATACTTACATCTCAGTCTGAACACATTAAGGTCTCTCTCCCCAGTGATACTTACATCTCCCCCTGAACACAATAAGGTCTCCCTCCCCAGTGATACTTAAATCTCCCCTGTACACCATAAGGCCCCCTCCCCAGTGATACTTACATCTCAGTCTGAACACATTAAGGTACCCCTCTCTGCTGACAAATCTCCTAAACACAATAAGGTCTCTCCCCAGTGACACTGACATCTCCCCCTGAACACAATCAAGGTCTCTCCCCAGTGACACTTACATCTCCCCCTGAACACAATAAGGTCTCTCCCCAGTGACACTTACATCTCCCCCTGAACACAATAAGGTCTCTCCCCAGTGACACTTACATCTCCCCCTGAACACAATAAGGTCTCCCTCCCTAGTGATACTTACATCTCCCCCTAAACACAATAAGGTCTCCCTCCACAGTGATACTTACATCTCCCCATGAACACAATAAGGTCTCCCTCCCCAGTGATACTTACATCTCCCCCTGAACACAATAAGGTCTCCCTCCCCAGTGATACTTACATCTCCCCCTAAACACAATAAGGTCTCCCTCCCCAGTGATACTTACATCTCCCCCTAAACACAATAAGGTCTCCCTCCCCAGTGATATTTACATCTCCCCCTAAACACAATAAGGTCTCCCTCCCCAGTGATACTTACATCTCCCCCTGAACACAATAAGTTCTCCGTCCCCAGTGATACTTACATCTCCCCCTGAACACAATAAGGTCTCCCTCCCCAGTGATACTTACATCTCCCCCTGAACACAATAAGTTCTCCCTCCCCAGTGATACTTACATCTCCCCCTGAACACAATAAGGTCTCCCTCCCCAGTGATACTTACATCTCCCCCTGAACACAATAAGGTCTCCCTCCCCAGTGATACTTACATCTCCCCCTGAACACAATAAGGTCTCCCTCCCCAGTGATACTGGTGGCAGGACGTGGCAGAGAGTCAGCTTCCTTTTGTGCCTTTGACTTTACATTACCACAGGCTCTGGTGAAAGGCCGAGACTGTAATACAACAAAGTCAGGATAGGTTAACCATGGATAGCTATATATACATTGGCCAGTGAACAGGACCAGGAAAGAGTGATATCATGTTTGATGGTCATAATTAAATAATAGATAGATACAGAACAGTATAGAGTGGACCGCAACAGTTCCATATTTTTGGGGTTATAAGCCGCACTGGCATATAAGTTGCAGAGTCGATTTTTCCATTGCAAAACTACATTTTTTATCAAAATTGACATTACTTTATTACCAGAATGATATGGCCAATTAGTACTTATTGCTATATGATCAGATAGTTATAGCCAACTTACATCATCACCCTCGTCATCTGTGTCAGGACGTTCAAAAGCCACATCATATAATTCATCGTCACTAAACATGTCACCTTCATAAGCATCATCGTTTTTAGATATGGCCTCCAGAGTATGTTCATCCATTGTAAACAGGAATGTCTGTAAAGTTCACAGAAGATTATAGATGACTGCACTTAATCAACAAAGACTAGGTATAAAAGAAAATCTTAAAAAGTATAGTGAACAATTGTTTATAACAAAAAATCAAAGAGTCATGCTGGCATTGCCAAAACACTTTAATACATGACTTCAACTTCATTCTCTTCATTTACTTTAATGAGCCTCTAAAACTGACATTGTATCAAGTAAAATATAAGGTTGAGAAGTATATAACTTTTTTTTGTATCTCTTCTGTGACCCACACTACTTACATCCCATCCACAATACTTACATCCCCAAAAGCTTCTGTTCCCCCCTCTATGCCTCCACAAGCTCTCGCTATTTCGCCTTTGAAGATTGGGACATTGTCCAATGTGATTACTGCATCTTTAACACCACGATATGAATGAATCCTGGACTTGTTATAATTCTGAAATAAGAGTTAAAGCAATCAGCATAATCCAATCCAGAGTAGGAAGGAATCAAACCATTTGATAATTGATCATTCTTGTCTATTTTTAGTGATAATAGTAAAGTTTTATCAACTGATGATTTGATTATTGAAATTAAAATCTGGTGTCTTGACTATCAAATATCATAAAATTTATTTGTTTTTCTTCTGCTAAGAAGTACTTACCCATATCCTCATCAGTGCCACCTTACAAGGTTTCTCAAATGTAAGGTACACTAAGTGTTTTTTTGCACGGTTAAATGGAGCTAGCCACATGTGGACATCGTCACGTGTACGGTTAACACCATCAATAAGGTTGCTTACTACACGAGGATCTTTGTTATACTCGGGAAGGATATTGATGTCCAAGGGGTCAGCTGTAATCTGTAATTATCATAGTTTACATATAATGTAAATGGGTAGAAAATGATACTACAAAGAAAGGGTTGATAAACTTTCTCGATTGTCAATATTAATTACATTATGATATGGTATCATGTCCATAGCCAACTATTTGTGACATGTCTAAACTGACCTTTGAAATGACAACTGGATCCCCTGTACTGGAGAAGACCTCTATTCCTGTTAAACCAACATAGTGATTGTCTCCCCATGTGGATCGAATGTCAATCACCAGATCTTTACCATAAGGCAGCTCAGGAATGACGAAATCTTCATCTCTGTAACAAGTATGTGGTTCCTTTTCTATATCAGTGTACACAATATGTATCCAACACGGAAATATTGAGCCATTGACAGTAAAATAGAGATAGTAAAGAAAGAAAAAGATGTAATATTGTAACTAATTGTGTCTAATTCTACAACAGTTTGCTATGCTACTCACTCAAAAGATATATCCTCAGTTACAGGCACTTTAGTGACAGTCTCTCCCTCCTCCTCCTCAGCGATGGTGGGCTGGGGTTTTCCCAGTGGCTTCAGATACTCGTCCAGGGCATCATCTATAAGACAAGGTGACAAGGTAAAGTGTGTACAGTTTATAGTCATTGTAAGGCTTTGGCTAGCAACATCCCTCTACAATAAAATGAAATTTTATACACACACAACTATCAGGAAACCGTTAAGGGATATAGCTCCTCAGAGAGAGTTTAAAAAAACACACACAGAAGGAAATGTTAATTGTTTGAAAGATAAAGAGGCACTTATTTGGAAAAAACTTCACACATTTTGTTCTGAAATTTATAATAGGAGCAAAACTACAAGAAAAGTTAATTGTAAAGAAACATCAAGAAAATACCAACATGGCAACATTATCATAATTAAAAATCAAATTTCATAAAACTAGGTCAAAATATGAACAAAAGAAAGATTTACATGGAGACTCCTATAAAAGTACAAGGAGAATAAGACAAGGTGTTCCAGAAGAGTAAGCGTCTTCTGCTTCATCGACGAGACCACCATGTAAACCTTGCTGGATCCAAGTAAGTGATGTCACATTCTCAAATGATAACAAGGTATACAACAACTGAACCAGCATATAAACTAACTAGCATCAAATAAGTCCAGCTTCAGGTCACACAAAAAGATAGAATACTTTTGTAAGTATATTTATGGAATATGTAAGATATTTATGGAAACTTGGCCCACTCCTAAAATTGATGTAGTGCTGTTCCTATCTTCTAGGTCAACCCAACTACCGAAACTCTCATCATCATATAATTACTATATCTCATGTTCATATCTGGACAAAGAATCAATACAAAATCAACAGTGACCATGACCTTCAACTGAAGCCCTTGAAACTGTATGATGTTTTTCCTCTGTTGTGGAAACCCACCTACAAAGTCAATAATTCATTATAACTATAACTTTAGGATAGAGAAACATCACCTTCATCACCATGTCCACTACCAACAGGATTCTTCAGTTCTTTGAGGCAACCTAAAAATCATTTCTGACTTGGTGATCTCATTTGTTCTAAAGTTGGTAATCAAGCAGTGCAGACAGACACATGGGGTATATTGAATTACTCTGAGTTTCCCATTTTTATGATGATGAATTTCTGAGTGACACCCACCATCCAAATCCATAGATATGCGGCCCTTCTGATGCCTGTCAAACATGTTAAGTGATCCCCAAGACTCCTCCAGGTTTTTCTTCTGTGATTCACGCCACTTGGCTCTGTTCTGCTGTATCTTCTGCATGGGCGTGGAGTTTTTTATTTCTCCTTCTGAAAACATAACAGATTTTCAATTGCTAGAGTAAATATTACAGAAATGACAAATCAGACCAACAATTAGGTGGTCAGGTGATTAATGATAACACACTAGACAAACTAGGTTCAATTCCCTGATGGGATGTGACAAGGTATAGGATAACCTTCCTGATCTTGTGGGTTTACCCTGCATACTCAAGTTTTCTCCCATAACATGACCCCTCCTGCACTTCCATCTGGACCAATAAGAGTGATTGATATAAGATGAAATAACATGTAATTTTTATAAAATAGATTAAATTCATGTGTAGAGAAGTACTTACCTTTGGTAGGTGGCTTGTCTTCATTGAACACTGTTTTTAGTTCTTTTTTCCTGAAAAGTATATCATTTCAAGAATGTTACAACTAATACAACATAATTACATATATCTTATAAAGTGTAGATTTCAGATTGTCAATTTTTTCACTGATATCATACATGTACCCTAGGTACTGCTTTAATGGAAAACACGAGGCCCATGGACCTTAACAGTCTTCTGACTACAAAAACTTTCAGCAGGGATAAAGGTTCTTCTTTCTACTTTGAATGAAATCTTACTAAAAAGCCATGATGCAGATGGTAGTTTTGATGAGGAGTAGGTAACTGTAACAAGTGTTACCTATCTTTTGACACTAAAGTTGGAGCTCAATCTAACTTGTGAAACTTGAGAAGAAGTTTGAAATAATTGTTGCACTGGAAAACCATGATTGTGCAATTAAGTTTTAAAATGGCCTCCCTGGCTGCCGTATCAAAGTTTTGACAAGGTCGAAAAATAACAAAACTTTGCTGGCTACCTTTCCTTAATATTCTATTCCCACCAATTTTTAGCTCAATGGCACCAGTGGCACTGGAGAAGAAGTTTAAAATATGTTTTTCAAGATGGCGGCCATCTTGGATTTCAGATTTACCCTAAAAATAATAACACTTGGTCAGGACCATCTCAGGATCATTTCATGCAAGTTTGAGCTCAATCCCACTGGTAAAACTTGAGAAGTTTAAAAATATCAAAAGTTTACACATGGCAGATGTTGCACAGTGAAAGACGACAGACAAAGCAAGATGGCTATAGGTCATTATGACCCTTCTGGTCAGTTGACCTAAAAATATCAGTACAATGATAAAATGATGAAATATTCATAAACTACTGAAGGTAATGTACTCACTCAGGCCACAAAGCCATTTCTTCCTCTATCAGCTGGTCAACAGTCTCTTTGGAATCCTCTACCGGGGCAGCCTCTGTCATGTTTACAGGTTTTGGCTCGGATACAATCTGACTTGCTACTGGATTCTCAAATGCCCCTTTTCAAACCAAAAATGACATTTTTATAATGTTTCAAATCTGTTCAAGGATACAAATTTCATTTTAAGGAAATTAGTCAATATTTTGATTCAAAGCTTTCATTTGAAAAAAATTTATGTTGCATGCATACCTGCAACATCTTCTGCTTTCAGCCATTTTGGAATGTCCTTTTTCCTTTTCTGGTCTCTGAAGATAAAACAGTACTTATTAGTATTAACAGTAACTAATCCATCCACAAAAGACTGGTTCAAAGTGGGGATGAGGATTTCCTTTGGTTCAGAGTAGGTTTGAGCCTTAGTCCTAGTTCAGACCGGTGTTAAGCATTAAATCTGGTTCAGAGTAGGGCCAAGTCTAACATTTAGGTCAGAGAAGGGTTGAGTCTTACTCATAGTTCTGTAGAATGGGACCAAAGCCTATCATCGAGGACAGAGAAGGGTCAAGTCTTACCTCTCCTTCTGTAGAACAGGACCAAAAGTTACATCTAGGTCAGAGACGGGTTAAGTCATACCACGTCTAACATCTAAGTCAGAGAGGGTTAAAGTCATACCTCTGGTTCAGAACAGGACCAAGTCTAGTTCAAGCAGACTAGCTTGAGGTTTAGAACAGAACAAAGTTTAACATCTATGTCAGAGCAGGTCAAGACTTACCTCTGGTTCAGGACAGGGTCGGGACTTACCTCTAGTTTAGAGCAGGGTCAGGACCTACCTCTGGTTCAGGGCAGGGTCAGGACCTACCTCTGGTTCAGGGCAGGGTCAGGACCTACCTCTGGTTCAGGGCAGGGTCAGGACTTACCTCTGGTTCAGGGCAGGGTCAGGACTTACCTCTGGTTCAGGGCAGGGTCAGGACTTACCTCTGGTTCAGGGCAGGGTCAGGACTTACCTCTGGTTCAGAGCAGGGTCAGGACTTATCTCTGGTTTAGGGCAGGGTCAAGACTTACCTCTAATTCAGGGCAGGGTCAGGTCTTACTTCTAGTTCAGGGCAGGGTCAGGACTTACCTCTAGTTCAGGGCTGGGTCAGGTCTTACCTCTGGTTCAGGGCAGGGTCAGGACTTACCTCTGGTTCATCTGCTTCAGCTGCTGTATCATAGACGTGTCCCCTTGACTCTGTGAAACTGAGTCATGAACAGACACCTCAACACGCTGCTCTTCAGACTGTGAAATAGGTGGCCTGTCTTCCGACTTCTTCCCTGGACGTGGGGGACGCTGGTCTGTACTGTAATCATTGAACAAGTTTACACTAGTGATACTATGGTATGTGTGTTTACTTCCTATCACAAATAATTAATTACATGTGACAATGAAGAATAAAACTTTATATTATCCTTATGATACAAATCTAATGATGTTCCAGTTAAAAAAATTAGCCAGATGAATTTAGAGATTTAATCTGTAGCAAAAACCCTACACACCTCTTCTAGTAAAAGTCCATAGCTTTTGTAACCAAATCTATTTGATATTCTAAATAAAAAATAAATCCAAATTTTCCAATTTACTGAGAGAGATTGGATGTATTCATATATTCTAATCAAATGGTCAATGACTACATACAGGTGTTTATCAAGCAACTTACCTGTACAGCAACTGACCTTGACTGGTCACTACCTCATCAGTGACTTACCTTCTAAGCTGACTGACCACTAATGTGCATGTAAATTTTTAATGAATTCTGCCATTTCTAATCAATCTTTAGATTGTGAATTATTAATTTTAATGACATACTATCAGAAAAATCTATACACTAACACTGTACTTATATTCGGGTACTTAGCTTTGCACCTGTATACAATAGACAGTCATTACATACCTATTATTTCATCAATAATTCACACATCATCCAATATTCCAGATTACAGGTTCACCAACCATGTATAAGGTGTATGTAGAAACAGCCTAAGAATGTATACTATATAAACATATTAATGATCAGAGCATCAGAGATCTTAGCTATGTCACACATCAAATGAACTAGTCTCATCCTTATTGGTGGCCAGGTAAAAGTAAACAACATCATAGCTATGTCATTGGCTGACCGATCTCTGACTTATTAACATTCTGACCAGTATCACTCACTGACCCCTGACCTCCCACGGTTACACTAACCAGTATCATACCTACCTATCATTGACTTACCACCTACCTCCCACTGTTACACTGACCAGTATCACATCTACATATCACTGACTGACCCCTGACCTCCCACTGTTACACTGACCAGTATCACATCTACCTATCATTGACTGACCTCCTACCTCCCACTATTACACTGACCAGTCTCACATCTACCTATCACTGACTGACCTCCTACCTCCTACTGTTACTCTGACCAGTATCACATCTACCTATCATTGACTGACCTCCTACCTCCCAGTGTTACACTGACCAGTATCATACCTACCTATCATTGACTGACCTCCTTCCTCCCACTATTACACTGACCAGTATCATACCTACCTATCATTGACTGACCTCCTTCCTCCCACTATTACACTGACCAGTATCATACCTACCTATCACTGACTGACCTCCTTCCTCCCACTATTACACTGACCAGTATCATACCTACCTATCATTGACTGACCTCCTTCCTCCCACTATTACACTGACCAGTATCATACCTACCTATCACTGACTGACCTCCTTCCTCCCACTATTACACTGACCAGTATCACATCTACCTATCACTGACTGACCTCCTACCTCCCACTATTACACTGACCAGTATCACATCTACCTATCACTGACTGACCACCTACATCCCACTTGTAAAATGATCAGTAGCACACCTACCTATCATTGACCGATCGTGATGAGTCCCTTGCTTCCTCAGATGAGTGACCGTCTAATTTGGCAGCCATTCTTTTGGATTTTCTTGGTGTTCTGGACCCACGTGGTCTATTAGGCATCCTGGACTCACCTAACAAAGATACAGTCAAAATAGCAATGAAGATTAATTATAGCAGAATATCTTTGGTAGTGCCATGATGGAAGTTTGTGATATCATATATATATTGATTAGTGAGACCATCATGGGAACTAAGACTGCTGAGATGTTGCTTTTTACATACTGTAAATATGGTGTTAACATGTAAAAATTTACAGGAAGAATGTAAACAAGATTCAGATGGTTGTCAACAGAGTACTGATACAAAGAAAATATAGGGTTTGGCCAAAATATACTTTGGTCTGAAGTGGAATAGATATTGTCTGTAATGTCAGATAAAACAAAAATAAATAAAACAATGTAGTAAGAATGTGTTGTCCTCACTAGTTTGTTTGGGGAATATGTTTATTTGACAATGTTCGCTGTGACTTCTTTGTTTCATACACGAGTTTGGTAATTACAACAGTGATGCTGTAGATAACAATTTCAATATCCCATCCTGAGTACATGGTGGTGGTCAGGGAATTCATTTTTCAGATAAATTCATCCTTACCACTTGGGTCCAAACACAACATCAGTAGTTATCCTAACACTATCCTTCACTAAACAAGGAAAGTTACATCACACCAGAAGTATGTGGTAACTCACTTCAGCTGTTTTAAGGTTTTTACTAATTTGACCTCTGTGATGTTGAATAAGAGTCAAGATAATTTGTCAGGCTTCATTCCAGCAACCCACCAGCCCAATTCCATGACATTTTGGTCTGTTGGTTATTGAGAAGTTACTTGAAAGGAAAAGTTCATGCCCAACATAGACAGACAACAGACACTGCACCAAAGCATAAAACACATGTGCAATGCAACTTATACACCTTTGTATTATTAAAGAAACACCAGCACATAAAAAGTTATATTAAGATACCTTTTACATCTGTAATCAAGTATAGATATTTGGATACCTGTTACACCTGTAATCAAGTATAGATATTTGGATACCTGTTACACCTGTAATCAAGTATAGATATTTGGATACCTGTTACACCTGTAATCAAGTATAGATATTTGGATACCTGTTACACCTGTAATCAAGTATAGATATTTTGATACCTGTTACACCTGTAAATCATCATAGCTATCATAATACCTGTTACACCTGCACATAAGAATGTATGTACCTGTTACACCTGTATATAACTACAGTTATCATAATACTTGTTACATCTGTATGTAAGTATAGATATTTTGATACCTGTTACATCTGTATGTAAGTATAGATATTTTGATACCTGTTACACCTGTATGTCAGTATAGATATTTTGATACCTGTTACACTTGTACATAAGTATAGATATTTTTGTTACCTGTTACACCTGTACATCAGTATATATTTGTTACACCTGTACAATTGTATAAGCCATATGGGCTTCAGATACCTGTACATAAGAGTATATTAGAATATCATAATACCTGTTCAACTTGGGTACAAGTGTAGACATTTAGAAGCCAGATAACTGCACATCTAGCTTTACACATGTACACTGGAGACATTTCTATTGGGTGTTCCTATGGTTACATGAATATGCTAAGACATTTTGTCCAGCAGCCTAATTACATCACACACAGCAACACTGTGTGGCACTATATTGATCCTAAATAAACTGACCACGTAGATTAACTCTAATACACTGAGTGTAATATCCAGTCTTAGAAATTAATATGGAAAATACAAAACACTGATATTTAACGAACGAAAATTACATCAGATATAAAAAGAAAATTAGGAAACAAACTTGATTCAGACGAATTTCTAATATTTAATGTCTTATAAAATAAAGTGATTTATATAAAATCATGGCATGTTTTGTATACAATTATTCACTATAACAGCCCAGTAACCATGATGTTTCACTTCCCTTTGCATCCAATAAATAGTCAAAGATGGGTGAAAGACTACTATGACATGTGAGAGAAAGCTGTTGGATATAGGTGACAAGAACACTTCAGTGATATAAAGTCTGTATCACATGTGACGTGATATGGTGAGGTGTAAAGTGACAAGCAGGAAATGCCTACCCTTATACACACCCATTTTAGACTTGTCCTGTCTTTTCATCTCTGAGACAATGGGTATGATTCCTTGAAAGTTCTAAGTCCAAAACTGATAGACTGTCTAACCTGGACATCCATAGCTGTATGGATATACCTTGTGTATTTACTTGCGGCAGGTGCCATTCAAATTAATTAAAACTACTAGCCATTCAATACAGATGACCTGATATATCTATAGATGTATATCATTTTACACACAGGTATGCTAATGGAATTGATCAATGTGTATTGATACATAAAAAGTTAAAGGATATATTCCCCAGTCAGTAATGCAAATCTGTTGTATATACATACACACACATAACAAAAAGTCAGAGACTATATCAAATACCACACCCTTTCACCAGTACATATGTCTGAATGTATACTGACAACAAATGTTTATCACAAGTTGTAGAGATATAGCAACAAAGCTGTACAGGAGAAAGGTAGTACGGGGGAGTGAGTGACGGGCTACCACATGTGTCGAGGTCCTGGAGTGTGGGGATGGGGTACCAAGAATAATGGGGTACCAAGCACAGGGACATGTAACAACGTCTCTGGAGAAAGAGGCTTGTGTAGTATATAGCTCTAATCAAAGAAGTATACTAGATATGCCCCTATTTTATACTCATTGTTCCATGCCTTATCGGTGCCAAAGGTGTTGGAGTGGGTCATATCTAGAGTAGGGTGTCAGGGTATTGGTGTGAGGTACCATGACAGTAAGGTACCATGGGATGGCGTGGGACACCACAAGTGTAGGGTACCAGGGACAGGGGTACAATAAATAAAGGGTACCAGGGATGAGGTGGGTCACTGCAAATACGGGGTGTCACAGTGTAGAGTACCATGAGAGTAGGGTATTAGGGTATGGGTGTGGAGTACCATAAGTGTAGGGTACCAAGGGGGAGAAAGTGGGGGAGGACACTATCATTTGTTAGGTAATATTTGTTTCATTTTGGGCTCAAAAATGGAAATGTTGATACAGTAGATACAGTACAGACATAGAACAGTACAAAAGATGTGATCCCTTTGAATCTAGAATGCTACTATTACAGTTGGGTTAAAATTTGCCCAGCAAGTTATTTAATTACTTTTACCTTTCAAAAGGGTCTCCTTCTTTATTTATGTTTTGATCCCAAGAACTAGTTCAAAGGGTAGAATAAATAAAACGTTTTCCATAACATACATCCTAATTTTCAAGCTTTACCTTTAGAAACTTCCTTGTTTAACTCCATGAAATAAAAACTTGAATGTTTTTGCTGAGCACCTGAGCTGTTCATTTTCTTTTTCCAAAAAGGAGAAACAAATGCAACATGTTTGCTTTCCTGAAGTCTTTTCTCTCTATCACTTATGCTTGATTTCAATTCCTTCTGAGAGGTATTTAGTTTTGGTAAAGTCACCATATTTCTGTTTGCTGCCAAGCTGTTGTATGGACTATCTGTTGATTTTCTGTAACTGTCCAGTACACCAGTACCTGTGGTCTGAGCAGGGTTAGACTGAATCAGATAAGGCAGTTGTTCATCTACTAAACTTAAAAGTTTTGTGTTGATGGAAAGCTTTACTTGTGTCTGAGTAGATTTCCTTACATTGCCACGGAGATTGAACTGTAGTCCGGATAAGCTGTTTATAACGCCTCTCCTGGAATAAGGGGGAGGAATTTGGTTGGATCGAAGACCCGGAGGTCCATTATTTCTACGAATCCTTTGTAGAGTTAGTCTTTCTTCTTCTCCATTCCAAGTCCTTCTCTTTCGCAAAGAAACATCAAGTGAGGACTCCTTCCTATGAGACCGCACCCCAAATATGGGCAGGGTACGGGATTGTCTTCTCCTGCTTTCAGAATCCTGGCTCCTTACCTCCTCCATGTTTTGTATATCAATATTATCTTCCTGTCATCATATTCATGCTTTTCCTCAAGTTTCATCTCATACATCTGAACTGAACCACTTCTGTTCTTAGGTATATCATACCATTGATAAGTAACACCTTCAGAAAGGTCGCTATGTGATTGTAAGTAACATGTCACTCTAAGTTTTAGCCATTACCACATATAAAACACTCTACAAGTGATCATTCACTCCATAAAGACTTCCCATTTACCTCTTCTTCATAATCAAAATGTCTATGAAAGACAAAGTCTTGTTGTCATCTAGTTTGTTAGTCTCCCACACCTTGGAACATACCCTTGTACACGCTGATTAATCAAGGCGAACAAATAGGTTCACCACAGTGAAAAAGCATGAAGTTGTGAATGGATTCACCGACATGTGTCATCAAAATGATTAACAGCCAACAGAAACTAAAATACTATTTAATATTGATGAGGAAACATATAATTGAAGAGGAAAAAGTGACTTAATGTTGTTGATCAATGTGTGGATAAGTATAGGCTGGCTGTAATGGCATTTAAACGATTTGACACTTTCAAGCCTATTCCCATAATGGGACCTGTCATTGAAGGCTTACACATAAAAATCTTAATATCATTAAACAAATTAATATGAATGACCAGTGACTTGATTGTGGTTGGCAAGTTTCGTCTGAACGCTGCCTCACACAAGCCACAGACATACCTACACAGATATCTATGAGATAATCTAATGCTATTGTTGGGACCCTGGGGACCATCAATGAAGGTAGATCAATGCAGGCCAATCACTCTAGGCTATAGATATACACAACACAATCAACTGGGTTGAGCTGATCAAGATTGTATCTACCAAAACTGGCGATTCAGATCTGAGTCATATTAGATATTCTATATCATACCTGTCAACTTTCTAAAATTTGTATGGGAGAAAATATGTATAGAGTTTGTCTATAGATGTCTGTTGTAGATCTTGTATGTAATGTTAATGCTGTATCTGTCCATACATTATTGTGAAATATCCTAAACACCTTATTTAAGTTTTTCTTTATCTGCAATATACCATCATTCATTATTGA